AAAATATAAAATAATATAATATATAATATATATATTTATAATAAACAACAAAATAAATATAATAATATATCCAAATCATTATAAAAATAACATAAATTAATTAATAAATAATAATAATAATAATCAATAAACCCAACAAACCCAACAAACCACAAATATCCACAAACAACGAACAACGAATAACGAACAACGAACAACGAACAACGAACAACGAACAACGAACAACGAACAACGAACAACGAACAACAAACAACAAACAACAAACAACGAACAACAAACCACAAGCAACAAACAACGTACAACGAACAACGAACAACGAACAACGAACAACAAACAACAAACAACGAACAACAAACCACAAACAACAAACAACAAAAAACAAAAAACAAACAACAAACAACAACAACGACAACAACAACAACAACAACAACGAACAACAACGAACAACAACGAACAACAACAAACAACAAACAACAAATAAAAACCAACAACCAACAACCAAGAACCAAAAACCAACAGCCAAAAACCAACAACCAAAAACCAACAAACAAAAACCAAAAACCAACAACCAAAAAACAACAACCAACAACAACCAAAAACCAACAACCAAAAACCAACAACCAAAAACCAACAACCAAAAAACAACAACCAACAACAACAATAACAACAACAAGAAGAAGCAGCACAAATATACGACAAAAAGATGTGTTACAGGTTGCGGTATGAAAGCACATCATACTGTGCCCTGCGCGCACGCGCCGAGCACATGAAAAACACCAACGCTCACACTACTGTATTAGCCTTATGGCATCGCTGGTGTGCGAAGGTCTACAATAGATAATATGTTTTAATAATTAAAAAAAACAATAAAAACGTTTATTTATATAAATTTAAATACAATTACTCGGAATTCCTTTCCGGCAATCTTAATATTTTTAATATTGTTCGCGATTTTTCTTAATTATTTTTGTCTTGATTCTGATTTTTTTAACGCCTTTATCTAATTTTATTTTCCCTCTTCCCGCATCTTACCGCATCTTCTTATTCTTCTCAACCCTTCTCGCGTTTCCCCACCTCTTCTCAACTCTCACCTCTTCTCACCTCTTCCCACCGCCATCTATGAACGCTTTCCTCCGCTCCTCGTCTTCTGCAGAAAGGGCTTGGAGCTGTAGCGCCACGAGGGAAAAGACTGTATAACTAAAATGCAAGCGTAAAGACTTGCACATGCGTATAATCAAATTGGTGCTGGAAAAAATGAAAAGACCTGGGACAATCCAATTGCTTTAATCTGGATGAAACAGGTACAAAAGAAGAAGTATGGGAAACGTATTACTTACATTGATTATGTAGAAATAACGAAGGGATAGTTTCAAACTTCGTGTGGTATTGGCCATCTCAGCCATCAAAGCTTTAATATGCCAACGAGTATACCAGAAAAAAACACATACGACCATCATATCCACTTCCCGAAAGGAGACAAAAATCAAGTCACCATCTATTAATTACACAGTAGTTCGTAACCCGTAAAAAAAAATAAAAACTTTAAAAAGCACAATTTGTTCGTTTACACATTTAAAATTAACAAAAAACATAATTAAAAATCAATTGCGTTAAAAATCAATTGCGTCAAATACTAGTTCCATCCCAAGTTAAACATACTATTGTTTTGTTTTTTAATATATTATTAATAATAATGGTATATATATAGATTAATTTAATATTTATAATTTTAAATAAATTATATATCATATTAAATATTATGTCAAAATTATATTTAATTATACGTATGTATATAATATTTATAATTTATATAATATTATATATAAATATAATATTGAATTTATTCAATTTAATTGAATTCTTATTTTTATCTAATATATAAATATATTCTACAAATTTCAACAGATTATCAGAATTTTGAGTAGGAATATAATCTCTGACCATCAATTAGACTTAATTATATACTCCTTTTTTGGGCAGGGCAGAGCTGGCTGTACAAGGAAATCCTATCCCGCTGGGATAGAATTTCCGAAGAAGCCCGGCACACACCGGGGCTTATCGGCGACGAAAGGCAGAATGTCCGCAGCCACAACTGGTTTCTTTGAAAAGAACTTGCGGAACATGACAATGGATTACTAGGATTACAGCAACTTTTCAGGACATCGTCCAAGAAAATCCATGATGCACCAACGGTTCAGGCAGCGTCCCGGGACAGGCGTCTCCCACCATTTGCTCATGGCACATGAGCTGATGTTTGAGACTTGGAATCATCATGATCAGAGATTTCAATATCATATGCTTAAAACAATAGTAAACCCCCATTTTTGATGGTTTATACCACCCATTTATGGTGAATTTGTTTTTTTTTAAGAAATTGTTTTAACGCCATTATTTCAATATAATATCATCAATTGATGTCAGTGGTCACATCCATTTTCCATATATCCGTTTTTCATGACGACCGGATCACATCCCATCACTCAGCTACCCAGCCTATCACTATCCATCGCACGGACTCTGGACCTGACCGCAACATGGGAAACTGTAAAAGGATATCCCAGCAGTTTTGTAAACCATGGAAGTTCCGGCCTTTTCATTTGATATTATATGTATATATATATAATATTGATTATATATGTTTTGTTGGTTCCAGTTGTCATGTGCGTTGACTGAAACGGACTGGGTTACTTCCAACTCCATTCCTTGATCATCATTTTTCCTCGAAAAACTTGCCGTTTCCAACGTGTACTACAGTAGCCTATTTTCAGACACACCCAGCTATATCAATTTCCGTGATGCGTTTTGTGTTGGTCAGAAACATCTCCCCGCAAAGGTTCTCCAGCTTCCCTAACGTCAGCCTGCTCACTCCTCCAACAAAAAGTAGCTGCCAGCCGACTTTTGTTCCCGGTCCTGGCCGAGTACACCAGAGCACAAATCTGCTGAGTCCAAAACCCCTTTTGTGAAGGCCATGACACTTACCATGGACAACCTGACCAAGTTGTGTTTATCTGGTGGATATCCATGGATATCCAACTTTCCAAGTGCTGATGCGAGGAGGCTTTGCCAAAGTGCCATTCCTGGAAGCATTTTTTTGACACTGCAACCAAGCAGTGAACACCACAACCAATAATTATATATTGTATTTATTATTATTTATTTATATTTCACCATTATTTACTATACATTATTCACAATTAGTGACACTAGTGAAGTTCCATTTTTTTGATGAAGACATCACTAATTGTGAACTCTATGCAGCCAATTGGTGGATTGTTTGTGAATCTTCCCCTATATTTCAAGGATTTTCAATCTGGGTTCAGTGTGGCTTCTTCCGTGTGTATCCTTTGGTGTGGAGGATCACCGAACCCTCACCGAACCTTCACCGACTCCGCTTTGTTGATGCGAGGCCGGAAGTTCGTGGGGTCACGACCTCGTCTCAACAGGTGATGTTCTTGACAGCGGGGTTTACCAAATACTCATCACCCATTGAGTTGATTCCTGGATCGAAGGTTCGAAGGTATCCCATTGCCCAGTGCCCAACGGAAGGTGATCTCCAGCTGCGCCAAGAACTTGTTCATGCCCTGCAGGCAAAACGTGCCTGAAATCTCAGTTCCTTCTATTGGTTCATGTTGGGATTCCCCATTCACTGAGTGTTAGAAATTGTTAGAATAGAATCCCCATTTAACAAGTGATGACTGTATGTCAGCAGAAAAGCACTGGCTGATGACAATAAATGGCCTAAACGGAACCACCACAACATCTGGAGTTGCAAGGTGAATTTCCAACTGGAAAATTTGTTGTCTCACTTTTATTGTTGCTTCCAGTGGTGATTTCAAGCCAACTCAAAAAAGGATGAACAGCTGGTTCAATCTCCATGTCTGCGGGGGACTTCCCAAAGTTTTGCACCATGAGAGTTCCTACCCCGGTAGATCAACCGTTACCCCAGCCTCCAACAAGGACATCGGTGCAGATGCCATGCAGTGAATGCCGGGTCTGGGGACGGAGGATGAACACATTGCCCCTTGGGGTATCCCCCCATGGCTGACCCTTGCCGCTTCATGAAAATTACGGCTGACCCGTGCTGTTTAGAAAGTACTGGTAAAAGAAGTTGAGGGGCTCGGCTCCAATCCCAACTATATCTTGGAGGTTACATCAAATCCTTGCTAGCTTGGAATTTGAGGGACCCTGACGTAAAGTTAGTAAATTCTTAAGTTGCTATTGTGTATTATAGGTTGTATTCTTGGTATGTCGGAGTACTCGGCCATGTATTGTCAGTATTGTGCTTATTCACATATTGCATTTTTTGGGGCCTTGTGCCAGTACTGAAGCCACCTAACACCAAAAACAACTTTCCAGCCGCTGTCAAACTGTTTTTGCAACCTCGCACCAATGGCACTTTACCCAATTAAATTAAGACGTGATAAGAACTGGATGGACCCTCACCTTATCTATCCCTAAAATTCTTCACACTTGAAATTAAGAATTTGATATATACCCTCTGGTTATTTAGCGTAGCTATGGAAAATGGCCCAGAACACATCCCAAAGCAGGTGATCCAGCTAGATGCAAAAGATTCAAATCGTGTTTTTTCTGAAAGTGGCGGAATACCAAGTAATCCATCGTTCCATTCCATTACCAATTTCAGGAGGTGGGAGGGCCATTGAGGTCGGTATAGCCCATCATGACTATCCCAAGATGATGCGAGATTGCCTGAAAATGGCTTACTGTACCGGATGTTACCGGATGTTACCGGCCCAATTCCAATGGTCATCAGATTCTTTCCCATCAAAATGCAGCGCCTATTTTGGGACACTGTTTTTTATGTTTTTGGTTGGTCGAATGCCCATTTATAGCCATTTAACATCATTTGACATCATTCATCATCATTCCATAGGTCTGGCCACGGCGACTTTTCCCATGGCCATGAAAACCGCCATGGCTCTGCACCTACCATCGTAGACGATGACCCGATCTGCCAAATACCTGGCGCCACAATAGTCACTGGTCGCTAGTGGAGACCACCCCCCCAAAACAATGGTCGTTTAATGATTGATGGGGATTACCATAATGGGTCATAAGAATCTCTAATAAATAAGGTCTCATGACTTAACTTATGACCCTCTAAAGAACAAATCAACCCTTGGGTGTTGGCCACTGAATTGGTTTCATCATCCAATTCACTAGGACAAGACTTACGACTGAAGCCACCAATTCGTTCAAGAAGGACCCTACCTGAAGCAAGTCAAAAAATAACGGAATTGGAAGATGAAAATATGAACACCTGGACATCAGTGGAAATATCCTTTCAATATCTGTTGAACATGAGGGATTTCCCAGCTCCATGTTTCTCTTCAGAACTCCTGCAGATCCACCGAACCAAATACCATCACTAAGTACGCCGTTGTTGCAGACGATGCCGGGGAAAAAACATGAAAAAACACGAGAATCTCACATAATATTCCCAGATGTCAACAATTTAGCCGAAAGTTAAGTTGCCGAAATATCTCACATGGTTTCCCCGGGGTCTCACGTAGCCATGATGAAGTCGTGTTCCACGATGAAGGCTGTCTTTTTGGCATGTAAGATGAACCTGGTGGAGCATCAGCCGTGGATGATGGGTTGTCAACATAGCCACTAGCGACCACCGGACATGACCGGACCAATGGTGGTGAATAATGAGAATTTAACCGTTTAACCATACAAAATGGGCTTAATTATATTTGACAGTGTGTCAAAACCAATAGTACCCCTGTAGTTCACATCAAGTCATAGCTGGGTTAAAATGGATGTGAATAACCCACTAAAAATGGTATTAATTAATAGGTATTGATCCATAGCCATTTAATTATCCCATGAATCATTGATTTGGTTGCGTTTGAAATGGCAATCTGCAGGGAAATTATGACGATGAACCAACGGATTTATAGGCTGAACTTATGGGCTCTGGGAATGATTTGGGCGCTTGTCTCATGTCCATGGCTATGGGTCAAACATGATCATATATATATATATATATATATGTAGTATTATAATATTATATAATATACATGGAATGGGTTATGGCCATCCATCCGATAATGGGAATCCTGGGGTACACTGTGAATCCCTATTACTGAATTGATGATTATCCAATTTTATGGGAAAGTAAGCCGTGCTTGGACCATGATACACATCTTAGGTCCGCAAGTTTGACCCGTTTCCAAAAAGGGGGTCGCTTAAAGTTCCTGCTTCTGGATGCAGGTACCCTCTGGTAATCTAATGAAGCGATGGAAAACCACCATTATCTATGGGATAGCTAAATTAGGTGAATTAGTATCCTATAATGGTTATCCTATAGTTATTATTATTAGCATCCTATTAATTATTAGTATCCAATAATAGTATCACTAATAATTAATAGGTGAATTTCATCTACAGATGGAAGGAACATTTTCCATAGCTGCGTGTTAGATTACCAGAGGCCCGCTTTCCGCGATGCAGGGCGCAAAAATTAACACAGGTGGTGATCCTACAGGCTATCGTCATTTGCCCCATTCAATGGCAATTTTTGTGGGTGTCCAACTTTTAATATAGATCCTTTTAGGATAAAACCCAGGTATTCAAAACTCTGTCATTCTACTATACCGGTTCGTTAAGAACGAGATTCCCATGATGGATCATAATAATCCCCAACATATTGGGTAGTACAACCCCCTACTCGTATAATCATTCGTCAACAAGGGTTTTGAACACTGCTCAGGTTCATGGTTTCAGCTGGCTGTTGCTGGTTCTATGTCAGGATCAACTCAGATTTGGATTACCTTTGGACCACCAAAGACCCAAGAGTACGATCCAACTGAAGTTAGGATTGATATTGGGTAAGAGGGTAACGACTGGTTTTCAGACCCCCGCATCAACCGATGGTCGCCAAAATTGGGACTTCCCCGCATCGATCTCCATTTTTGTTGGCTCAATCATCATCAACCCTTATATACCCTGATTCTTTGGACCAATTTCCCTATAATTTCCTATCCACCCTATGGCAATCCAACCGGATTACCATCCACCCGGGCTGGATGGAGACCTCTTCATCACGCGGGCGGCCACGACGCGTTGTTCGACATCAAGGTAGGCGGAGGGCTCATCGATCAGGTAGATATCCGCCTAGGAGATCACGTTGGAACCTGTCTAGTCCTACATGCCAAGCATTCCGACTTCATATGATTTTCAGCTGTTTGGTAAAATCTATGCATAAATTTATTATATTTGTATAACTTATATGTATATATGTATATATAAAATATATATATATCGTATATATATATGTATATTATATATATATATATACATATTTGATTATTCATATTTAGATGTATCAATTATATATCCCTATGGTGGTTTGGAGGGAAACAACAAAGATAACCATGGAAAACATGTTTGGGTTATCATTGGTTATCTTACACACTGGTTGGTGACCTAAACTTATTATCACCAAAAGCATTCGCACTCGATCATTTTTCACGAAAAGACTTAAGAGATCTTAAGAGTCTTATACACACAGCTTTTTGCTACCGGCAAGCAGATTCTTGGACAGGTTTTACCGAACATATCAGCCACACCCCGCCAAAATCCTAGGTTTTGTGCTTCACCATCCCAGCGGATACCAATCATTCCCAGGCACAGGCTTCCCCAGAGAGAGCACCAAAGCCACCTTCGTTGGAACAGGAAAACCCACCGTGCCAACTACCCAGGAACACGGACCCCAAAAAGTGAAATTTGCAATCGTAGCATCATCCAAACACCTTTTTTTTGGGGGTTCTGTGTTGGATTCAGAAAGTAATATGTATTATATAGTAAAATTATACACATTAGAATATAATTCAGGGTAGTTTACCAATGAACATAGAGTGCCTTGAACATCTCTACTCCTGAAGGAACAACATGGTTGTATAATTACTTCCAACTTTGACCAACAACCGGGATATTCTCAAAGAAACCTGGACATTCCGTACTAATAAAAGGTATATAGATAGCTGCCACCAAGGACCAGGAAACTCCTTGCGAGTCTCAGGCCATCCTTCAAAAGGATATTTCGGTGTGGCTCGAAATCAATTCGACCCGTAAAATATTGGATGGTTTGACCCACAGTAACTTGTGTTTATTTGTGAAAGGTGACCCTCCCAAATTTCCCCACATCATATCGCCAAGCCCTGCCATACCCTTGGGGGAAATTCACCCCTCCGCCGAACCAAGCCCTCCAGGGTCAGGGGCTCGTTGCAATTCGCCACCACTCAATGTCTGTACCTTGAGTCAGCCAGAGAGGATCATCCTGAATTTCATGGGCAATGGTGGGTCAGCCATGGTCAGCCACGCAAGAGAGGGCTGTTGAAACTCATCGAAATGCGCGGTGCGAATCGCAGCAACGAGAGTTTATAGTAAAAGCTGATAAAGGTGAAATGAGCCTATCAGCTAGTTGGTTGTAACCAATGCGACATGAAATCCCCCAAAAAACATGGCCCCAAAAGTGGCCTCGAATATTCTGCCCGTGACGTAATGGATATAGGTTTAAGATGGTTTAAGATCAAGATTATTGAGCCCCCTATACTAACAATCTCTGTGGGTCAAATGGTAACGCAGCTTTGACTTTTGATCCATACCCAAAGATGTCCAGTGGGTCTCTGACATTGTGGTCTGCAATCTGATCGATAAGCATGGGCTTTGTCACATCAGTCTGGAACTGCGGATGCAAAAACCTGGGCGACTCGGCAATCACGGCAATGTCATCCCATACCACCCTGGGGGATGTTTGTAACACGTTGCGTGTATACTGTAGATATAGAATGCACCGGTGTAGAACCTGATGTTTCAAGCAGACTTGAGAAGCAACCATGGTCAAAACATGGCATGGTCAAAACATGGCACAGTGGGATCGTAATATCGGCTTTTTCTGTTAATCCCTATGAACATGGATTTACACCACCTGCGCAAAAAAATGGGTCAACTTCACTCCCAATGTAACTTGACCATGGATGACCATCTGGGGTAAAAATTCTACCAGAAGACCCCTTTTGACTGCCATAAGGCCCTGCTCCCTGCATGATCATAGGATATCATAGGTGTCTCGTTGCCAAATATCCAAGCAGAATTGAATCGGTGGCTTTGCTGCGGTTTCCATTGACGAAAAACTTCAAACTCGACTTGTTTCTGGAGGTCGTGATTTGGGAATCGATACCTACTTTCTGTGAAAACGAACACTGGCCGCACACATCACCTTTGCGATATCGGAAGACAGCATTTTTGAAGGAACACGCATCAGCAAAAAATCCGCAGCATCTCATTTCACTCCTTTCCTTCACAAATTGGAACATCTGATTTGTGGTTCCAACATGTTCCAACCCAACCCCACAGTAAGAAAGTCATTGGCAATCAGTTTTTTTTTTCAATTTCTAGGGCTGGACGGAAACAATAATTGAAACCGTCAACCAAAAAGTACCACATCAATGAAATCCCCATCTTCACTGTGATGGGTCACATTCCCATAGTTGATTAATCCAATTACAATTACTGGTGTAATCACCATCTGTTGATGATCAACTCCCAATATTTGTTAGTTCCACGTTCCATCCTTTTTCTAAACTTAACTTAACCCGCATCTTTGTGCTTAGTGCTAAAGTTCCCATGTCCGGTTGACAAGTGCATTTTTTTCTTGTTGGTAGCATCCGTAACATTCATGTTGTCAGGTTGCTTGCACCAGCTTTTCAGCAAAAAGCCTCTGGATTTAGGATCCAAATCTCGCATTATACATCATTATACCACTATTTTTGTTGGCTAAATCCCCATTTTTGTTGACTATCACCACTAGAAGTTAGCAACCCCTCATCCTCAGGAAAGCGAGATGGATTTTAGCTCCCCACGCATCTCGGATCTTCCCCAAGAACAAGTCCTGATGGGACAATCCACTGGGGTTGAAATTGGGATTTTTCAAGCAGAACTACCATCTGGTTATTTAACATAGCCATGGAAAATCATCATTTTTAATAGGTAAACCATCTATAAATGGGGCATTTTCCATGGCTATGTTAAATAACCAGAGGGTATATAAATTGGTATTTAAACATTTGGCTGAAATTATATCACCAACCCAACCAGATATGGTTTTTGTTCACAAATCAGGATTGAGGCAGAAAACTAGGGAGATAAAAAAAGACGATCCGTGGCGATTCCTTTAATTTGTTCCCTGGCAATAGGACAGCAACTTTTTTGGTTATATTTTGTTATACTGGGAAACTTTCCATGTCTTGAAGATCCCGCGCAAACTCACAGGGACGTGTTGCCGTCAGACAAATGTCTTAAAATCAACTTGCACTCCGGAGCAAATCAGAGCACCCCTTGAAGTCCTAAAGCCTCATGGCTAGAGCTGGCAGGCTTGGTTGCCTTTTAAACTCGGTGTAGATCTGTCAGTTTCTGCGAGACTGGTTGTTGCTGGTGGCATAAATTTGCCCCCCCTCAGAACTCGCTAGATGTTGCATACAAAAAAGGATCAACATTTCACGCCACCCATTTCGAGAACTGCCCCTTGGATCACATCTTCCCCTGGCACCAATCCTTGACTGTACCATCAAACTTGGCGCTGATGGTCTGCGGCTTGTAGGACACCTTGCTGGGGCTGGGGCTGCAGCTTCAGAGGGTAACCCCTTTGACCCTATGGAAGCACCTCTGAGGCTTGGAGCAGCTGCAGGAACATAGGGAACTCATGGGAACTCTAGCGATCAACAAATAAGAGGTTTATCTCTGAAGTTTTGTGTGGAGTGCACACAAAAAGGAAGGCTTCGGAAGATTTGAGCCATTAGCCATGTTCATCAGATTCCTTTGGCTTAAATAGGAGTGCTAAAGAATCTACACTGCTGAGGCCAGCGGCATTCAGCTCAGGCAATTCATCGCCTATCCGCGAGGATCAACAATGGACGAAAGACGTGGCTGTGATTTTTTTTTGGTTAATTGGAACCACTTTGGAACCCTGATCAACTGGGCACTTCCATACATTTTGTGACGGTTGAAGTCACAGAATCCACCCCTGAAATTAGTGATTTGAGGTCGATGTCGCCAATGATGCGCACCATCCCATTGCGAATGTTTGCCTTGGAGACCTTCCCATATTTGCTGGCGATTACAGTATAGAATCACCCGTTGCTGATGGCTAAATTATGCTACATCCATATTTTTCCGGCGAAATCTCTAGATATCTCCAGTCTAAGGGACCTTTTTTAGCATGGCAGGTCCGCGCCTTCTTTCATATCGTCAGGTTTCAACAAGCCGGCAAGCATTCGGATGAAGGTGGTCTGGGACAGGATGGGATTCCGGGCTCATCATTTGGGGGTTTCCATAAATGGTGGTACCCCCAAATGGATGGTTTATAATGTTTATAATGGAAAATACCATTAAAATTCAAATGGATGATTTGGGGGTACCATGGGGTACCCCTATTTCAGGAACCCCCCATGTCTTCAGCAAGAATTGAAGTCATTTTTCTGTGTGACCTGGATCCCTCAGGATCTCCTAGGATCACGGGTTGATCAATGAACCAAGTTGAGGCAGTCAAAACATGAGGGACCATATACGGAAAATAATGATTACCTACCCTTTTTATGGGGAGATGAGATATACAACCAATTGCTATGATATTTGGGTCTGGACATGAATGATACCCATGTTCAGTGGCACTTTCTTTAAAGGAAAATGATGGTTGACCATTGACAAATCAGTCAATTTCGGGGTATTCTATGTTCGATCCAATCTGTTTACATTAGTGTCATGGTCAAAACATGGTTTGGCCGTCCCGTAGTGGTTATCGTTATGACCTGTGGCTACCCCCATTTTAGGACACCTCCGCTGGTGGGCTAAACTGCTTCTTGACCTATATATCCAATACGTTTAGTGAATTTAAAAATGGTCTTTGGACACTTTTCGAATGTGGGTAAATGGGGGTCATCAGTTACCATGCAACCCCTTGCATGGTGTGACCGTGTTGCCTCTGTAGTGGAGAAATGTTGCCTCCCATAAACACAGCAACATTTCTATAGATAGGAAATGGAAGAAACAACATATATCAAATACAGTACCAGTAGATGGTGTACATCATTTAGTTCAACTGATTTCCCATACCCAACAACAATCAGATTGTTCATCTAGGTCAAGTGTGGGTCCAAAACCAATATTGTATGCGAACCTTCCAATATGTCACTGATTCTGTTGATCTTTTGGGCGATGACGAGGGTACACGGGTGACAAGACCCAAACTTGCCTAAAAAAGTGCAAGATTTGTTCGTAATTCCAATAGGATTATGGTAGATATGGTAGTATCAATAGGTCGGGGTTATATACTACCAATATTGATACATATGTACAATATATCAACTACTTCAATATAAGCTCCCAGGTTATCTATTGTCATATGTAAACCAACTACTTCGGCTAGACTCTCCAGTCTAAGCTGGCCATCTTCCTCTTGAATTCACCGGGGCTTTGATGGATTTCTCTGACCGGGCTATCCTACATCAACTCGTTACTCATCATATTCCCATGATATTGCCTTGTAATGCCTTGTTTGGGGGTAATATTTTTACATATCCCAATCTTCAGAAACACTCAAAGATCATTTTTTTTGGGGTTCCCCATGAAATCCCCATGGTGTCCACTGGAAAATCCCAGACATTGTTGGTTATCTCCACGTAGTAACAGGTCAAAATCCACCGATAGAAAGCTCACTTATATCCCAGATTTTTTTGTTTATCTCCACATAGTAACAGGTCTAAATCCACCGTTCAGCTCCTGCCTTGCCAGTCCCATTCTGCCCCAGAAGGACCAGAATTTCGCTTGAGGCGAAGTTGCCAGCCTATCAGCTGGAGCAGTGATAACTTCTGGATAGGGTACTGGATATATGTAAATATATACATACATAATATATGATAGTATATGTGATAATATATGTATAGTATTGTATCGCATTGTACTCTGTTGAATTGTGTTGAATTGTATTGTAATTGTATTGTATTTGTATTGTATTTGTTTTTGTTTTGTATTTGTTTTGTATTTGTTTTGTATTGCATTGTATTGCACTGTATTCTATAGTATGTACCTGGACAACTATAACCAACAAGACATGGGAATATTATGGATACAATAGAAATTTGAGTTTTGAAGACACATTTGTCACTGGGGAAACCCTCCTGTGTTTGTAGTCCTGTTCCTATGCCACAAGAGGCGCAGTAACTATCACACATGGCAGGCTGGGAAACCCTTGAACTGAATGTAGGTTTTAATTGGAAACTCATTTCAACACAACTCACTATAATTCATCGGTCTTCTCAAAATTTTGGACCCCATTTCACCTCATCTTTAAAACCTCATTCTCTCCATGTTTTAATGGCAATAAATGGTTGGAGTCACGCATATACTGAGCAACACGTTGAAAGAAAACATCGAAACTTTGATCTAAGTAATGATGCTGCTAGTATGATCTATATATCTTGCACTACTATGCGCTGTTCAAGGGGCTCCTAGCAGTTTTGAGCCAGACTCAGCACGCCCCGCAGCTGAACCTGGATGTCAAGTTGAAAAGTACCCATCTTCTTGGTCATCATTGGGTACCTGAATAATTACAGCTGATTCCCCTCTCCCCAAATCTTCTGATATCAGAACATGTTCATGGCCCAAAGCATTTCGGGACATTTTGGGGATGCATCTTAGTACTGCTTCGCTTACGCACTGCAAGAGCATCTCACACTGAGCTGATTAGTCCATTAAAATTGTCCAGTCAAAGTTGCCAAGGATGAGCAGGGTTAATCCAAATAGGTCAGTCATGTATCAAAGTTGCTTGGTGGATTCAAGTTGTGTCAAACGATGTTGGACAAATATCTGAAATAACCAACGATATAAATTACTCCATAAACCAATCCACATGAATCCATCACAAACTAACATATATAAATCAATCAAAGATAGAACATCATATACACATGTGTATATACATATGTCTATATATACAAATAAATATGTATGTATGTATGTATATAATTGTATATATATATATATACATATGTAATATATATATATACACGTATACATATATGTAAATATATACTATATATATACATATATGTGTATATATATAAATAGATATGTATATATCTATATTTATATCTATATTTATACCTATATCTTTCTATATCCATATTTATCTATCTATATCTATCTCTATCTCTATCTCTATCTGTCTCTATCTGTGTCTATCTGTCTGTATCTATCTACCTACATATCTATCTATCTATCTATCTCTATCTCTATCTCTATCTCTATATCTATCTATCTATCTATCTATCTATCTCTATCTGTCTATCTATCTATCTATCTATCTCTCTCTCTATCTATCTATCTATCTATCTATAGATATATATATATATAATATATATATATATGTATAGGGTTGTTCTAAATTCTTTTGCCCGAAATTGGCTCTTGGGCCGGCCTTGGGCGCCCCTTGCGCGTATCTTGTGCGACCACAATCCCGTGTGAGTTTTTGGTTGCGCATGTTTTCGTCCCCTGTTTTCGTGCTCGTTTTTGTCCAACTTCATATTCCTATAGTGTGTATACCAATATGTGTCTGCGTGCAGAACATATATCTTCCTCGTTTTACCTATTTAGACATTGTATATCCATGTGCATGCCTGTGTATTTGACAGGGCGGCATAGACTACGGGGTCAACTTGGGACCTGAAGCTTGCACGTTTCTTGCGCGAAGCGTGGATTTGGGCTGAACATTGGCAGGATAGGTAATTATATATATATACATTGTATACATATACATATATTTATATAGTTATTATTAGTTATTGTTAAATTTACATTTGTGTTTGCCTATGAGGGGACGTGAGCCTCATCACCTCAGGGAAGCCTTACCAGGCTCCGTGTCCGCGCACTCGGTATTGTGCAACCGGTCCAATTTCGACGGATCCAAGTCCTCCGAGACTTTGAAGCTCAAGGACACCTGTGATCCGACGACAGTCACCGGTTTTTGATGTTTTTGGCATTCGACACCATCATTTTCCAATAAAGGTGCTGAAAAAGTGGGATGGTTAATGTATGTTAATGTGAAAAAATGTGACTTAACTATGGTTCACCCCTCTATTTGACTTATGTTCTCACCAACCAATGGGAAAACGACATCTATGGTATGGCTTTAGGCCGTAAAACAATGTAAAACATGGGATACATGGGGATTTCACCATTGAAACCCGGATGAAAAGGATCCAACAGACTATCCAGGAATTTTAATCAACAGGATACGATATGGGGAGCTGGGTTGCTGCATATTGGGGAACCTGTTTGGACCAACTGGCTGATCTGCACGGCAACGTCGATCCATGGTAAGACTTCAGCGAAAAAAGGGCACGGGCATGGCGGACAAACAGTCCAACAAGGTAGAAACGGTGATGAAGTGGTTGCTGGTATACCTACCCCTCTGAAAAATATGAGTTCGTCAGTTGGGATGATGACATTCCCAATATATGGAAAGTCATAAAAGCCATGTTCCAAACCACCAACCAGTGAAGTGAGCAATAGTTCACCTCAAGAGCCCTTGAGTCGTCTCACAGCACCAGTGCGGCGGCCTCGCGAAATCTGAGATTTTCCTCGGTGAAGCGGTGAAACAAAGCAGGACATCCCGGCACCATCAGATTTCACAAATGTCAACCTATCAATAATTGGTTTATATAAGGGAAAATCTACAGGAAACCATCGATTTTCCCATTAAATATGGGGCTTTCAATAAAACCTCTGGTTTATTGGTTAAATATTGGTTAATAGGTGGGGGGACACCCTGATGAAGTAGAGGATATGTATGCACTATGCATACGGTATCCCAAGTACCCAGCTACCCAGTAGCCACCAATTCAACAGCCCATGGGTTGATCAATCCGAGGTTGAATTTGTTCATGAGATTCATGAGCTGTTCGGACACGAGCCAATGATTACCACAAGGGTCAATGAAAACCACCTGGCCATCCCATATGGAAACCTGCACAGCCTGTACATAGACCTTATATACCCATTGCTAACAGGATATGCCGTGTGAATTCACAGGGTTTTTCGGGGGTGTTCAAGTGACAACTCCAAGCAGCGGTGGGAATAAAGCCGTCCAAGAAGATGTTGATGCCTGCAACGGTAAGGCGGCAAAGAACAACAAGAGCTGAACCGCGAACCCAAAAAACGCATCTGTTTTCCCAAGGATTCACTAGGATGACGGGTGAATATTGGATCAATCTTTCACAATACTTAGCCACCTGGAGATCTGTGCATTTTGAGCATCAGTTCCGGTCAGAAATCCGCAAAAACTCTTCAGAAACTGGGGATTGGTACGATGCATTGAGACGGTGAGTTTCAACTCGCACAAAAGCCAGTTACTGACCATGGGTGGGTTGCCATCTTGACCAGCTGATCCCTGGTGATATATGGCTATCTAAATGGACCCTAACCGGACCTAATCAAACAACCAAGGGTAACCCGGGGGTTGTCTGCTCATCATTTCCCCATTAGAATAAGATTGCCTGGACAATCGGATGGGTATCCCCGATCCGGAGACAAACCCAAGTTTCATTTTGATGCTTGAATCAATGCCTATTTTGGCTACTGGTAGCTACGAGCGCCCACGGATTGCAAAAATGATCAAAAGCTGATTCAATGGAATATCTTAATATATTTTATTTAATGGGATAAAAATGGGATAAAACATGATAACTAGTTAAATCACGGCCAACCCCTCCGATCTTTCTTCTCAACGATCGCGCCTTCACGAACGCTGAAGGGCATGGTCACCACCCCATAGGCACCAGCCGAACCCCACCTGGCCAAGGTGGTCAACCAACCCTTTAAGTGGGATGCAGCCAACAAAAAATGGGATGAATGATTAAAAAAATTGATTGAACAAAAAGTGTGAAGCCCTGATTGAAAAATGGGGCTGTTGAGATGAAAGCAACTCACTTTCAATCTTAGATACCCTGCAAACACATTCAACTTATTGATTTGAGGGAAAATCTATGGTTGAAACTTGAAACCATGCGTAAAATTCCTTGGTACCACACTATATTAGCGCCAGACTCATCGTCGCAAGCATTAAGAAACCACCACAAAGGTGCAGAAAACTTAGTTAACTCCGAATCTATATTAAACAGTAAGTATTAAACAATAACACATATATAATATTGATTCATCAAACCTCTTCTGCATTGTTTTGGGGGGCTACGTGATGCTTCGTCTCGTTTGCAACTTTCTGGGCCATATTCCACTCCGTGCAGCCACCGGACAAGCAGCAAATGAAGTCGGAGAGGTAGTCCAACACTGCCAAGTCGTGCCTGATGGGTGTCACTCGAACATCCTTGGAGGATGAAACATCTGTCCCTTTGTTGGACTTCAATAGTTAATAGTTGGGAAACCTGGAATCTTTTTATCCAGGACATGTGAATTCATGTGAATCTTTACCAGTTAGGGCATGTTCGGACCACAAAGTTTTTGACTAGTTGATCTAGTTGGGATGAATCCCCTCGATATTCACCACACAACCGGGACATACTCATCATGGTCCCTACCCAAGGTTTTATCATGTTTTATCCACGGCGTAAGGTCATATGCGTTTATCTGAAAATACCTCTAAATCTGCTGACGAATCATCATCTATACCATTCAAAATTGCCATTTTGAGGGTATACCGTATACTCGCCATTTTCAGATACACATCAATCCCTATCCCATCAAGGCATAAGCTCCGGCTCGGCGCCGGGCTCAACCACCACGATGTAGTTATCCACCGTCTGCAAGCTCCGAACCACCTGGTTCCGAGTTGAGGCCGTTGATCTTCAGGAGTTGAGCCAATTTTTCATTGGTCGCATCCCCAGTTTGGGTCATACGGTCATACCCCCAACTTAGCTGAGTGAATCCACTTTTTTTGTTGGTGAAAGAACCCCAGTTCTCGCTGGGTTCAGTCGATACCTGTGGGGATATCACCGACTCTTCGTGAGGTAAGTCTGCATTTTCGCCACTGAGATCCCATTCTTCAAGAGCGAATTTCCCATGTTTTGGGGTCAAAATCATGCAAATCTCTTTTTTTTATCGGGCCAAAGTGCGCCAGGGGGATCACCGAACCTGCGCCGCGGCGATACGTTGCTTCACATCCAGGTAACTAGAGGGCCTTAGGGCAGGGGCGGTTGGGGATTCAACCTGCAAGGACGGGGACTTGGCCAACCACGATGGGGTTTCAACTTGCAACCTTTCCACAGGAAACTTTGGTATCCCAATGGATCTAAAGCAACCTAAAACAGCAAAAACTGAAACAACATCTACCTGAAATGGGACCACTAGAGTGAGAGTCCTCAGAAAACACTGGTTCAGCAACCACCTGACATGGGAGATCATTTGCTTTCGGATATGTACTGGCAACTTCCCCCTGAAACGAATAGGTGATTTTTTGACTCTTCATGATCCATTCTGGCAGGGAAACAATATGTTATTCGCCACTTGCTCAGAAACCATCCATTTTTTTGGGTGCAAATCTCCAACATAAACCACACAAATACCAACAGTTTGAAAAGGGTTACTAGACCAACTTATACAATAACTGGGGGCCCTGTCTCCCTTTCATGACAACCAAAAACAACCATTTCCTGAACTTCCGCGCTCGTCGAACATGTAGACTTGAGCATCTTGGACACAAAGAACTGGCGCAACGTTGTCATGGCGAATTTCGCAGAAACCAATCTCAAAAACAAACACCAACTTTTGTAATTGGTTTTGGTAACGACTCCAAAAATGGAAAACATATTTACCATATTTTACCACTGTTTCAGAAGGATCTTGCATTTCTATGTTTTTTTCGGGGTGGTTTTGGTTATCATGTCATGTGTAACAAGTACATGACTGCTGACTCAACCAAGGTATGCCCGATTGGAAGGTGTTCATCAGTCTTGTCTTAAAACCGTTTGCTCATGTGACTGGTGGTTTCATCCCAGCAAAACATGCTAGGTACTGGATGCCCCAACTTTGCTCTCATGGAAGTCTCTGCCCACTAAATTCTCGAAATATTTCCTGCAACTACTTAAGTCACCATTCAGGCATGCAAAAGTTACATTTGGTGCTATCAAAAGCCGATGTGTGTACACTCAACATCAAACTTCACAGGCTCTCAATTTTCGCTTTACGTCCGCCCATTGATCCCATGTTTGCACCATCACCACATGTTTGTGATATCTTCTGGTAATCAAACATGGCAATGGAACATACACCGTTTACAGATGGTTTTCCCATGTGTTCCCGTTAAACCGTCCATCTATACGGGATTTCCCAACCAGCCATGTTTAAACACCAGAGAATCACCACAGCCTGCAATGGAGAAACGTTGCAATTCTCCTCCAGAAAGATCTTTGATCTCACGCTCCTCGCGCCACACATGGTTTGAAGAGAAAACCCGCGCTAAACGACGTGTTTTTGTTGGCAAATGTGGGGTTGAGGACGTTGGATACCCAAAGGTTGCCACTTATATACTGTGCATTTACTGTGCATATAAATATGTAACAGATATAGATAATTAAGACCAAAACCTAAAGATCTAGAAGATTCACAGAAGCCGCGTGTTTTTTCTGCTGGTTTTCCCGTCATCCACTTCTGGGGTGGTTGGGGTGTGCCTTTTCCTATGAGCATCAAGCAAATTAATTAAGAATGAAACCAAAACTTGGAGCGGGCCCCGGAACAATGGTCTTTTCTGGCAAGTAGAAACTGAAGATTTGATTGGCTTCAAATCGGTTGGTGTCGGGCAGCTCTTCTGACCAAACATGGGCTGAAACGGTGCCGCTTGTAACAAGATAGTCAAGGCAGAAGCCAGCCAGAAGAGCCGGGATTTGTTTTTCAGTGTGGTGTGCCAACCGCACCGTCAGTGCAAAATACTTGTGTTTTTAAAAAGAAGTTTGTGCTGCTTTCACTGTTGTGTGCCAAACTTCACAGAACGCCTTTGTTTTAGCAGCAGCTTTGTGTGTTGGCAAGCGCCTTTCCACGCCGTTCGATTGCGCAGTAAAAGGTGATGGGTGTCCTTTGAAGAGCCGGTGGTGCAGTTGAGCAGATTCCTTCTAAAGCTTTTCCGCTTCCGATCCCTGTGCAGGGGGCTCTGCTGGGTCCTATGCCAGAAGATCTTGAGTAAAATTTCCAGGTCAAGTGGGCCACATGCACGAGGAGCAGGTCCTTACAGAATGATCACTTGTGCGCATCTGGTTTGCACAGTTTGCCACCAACATGTTCTCTGGGTCTGAGATCGCGCAAGCCATGCAATACAATTGAAGAAGGCGTGGCTAACGAACCGGCGCGGAGATGCGGGTCTCAAATATGCTCTCCTGTCAAGTCACGACTATATCTTTGAACACTTTCTGGCCTGATCTATAATGTTCATTCTTTTTCAGTGATCTAACTATTGGTCAAATTCATGCATCATGGTGAACTACTATGTATATATATATAATAATCTGCCAACCTTCAATGAGGCCGTTTTAGGATACTTACTGTACATATACTTACTCTATTAACCATCATTTACGGTGACGTCCTGGTCAGGTCCTTATAATCTATCCAGATAAAACCCACTGACTTTCCTCACGTATAAATAACATATATATATTTAATATATATTATATATAATATATAATATATATAATATATATAATATATATAATATATATAATATATAAAATATATATAATATATATATAGTATATAGAATATATATAATATATATATATAGTATATATAATATATATAATATATATACATACACGATATATACATATATAAATTATATATTATATATTATATATTATATATTATATATTATATATTATATATATATTATATATTAATAAAAATATATATTATATATATATTATATAGTAAATAAATATATATATATATATTATATATATTATATATATCATATATATTATATATATCAATATATATATAATATATAATATATGATATATATAATATATATATAATTTAAATAATATATAATATATATATACTATATAATATTTAATATATAATATATATATATATACATACACGATAAATACATATATACATATATATATTATATTATTATATATATATATATATTATATATACTATATATTATATATATTATATATTATATATATATCATATAATATATATATAATATGATATGTAAATATATATATAATATATATAATATATATAATATATATAATATATATAATATATAATATATAATATATAATATATATAATATAAATAATATATATAATATATATAATATAAATAATATATATAATATATATAATATATATAATATATATAATATATATATATATACGTATATATGTATATATCGTGTATGTATATATATATATATATATATTCCACTTTTTGGTACTTATATTTCAATTTTCTATGGTTCAATCCCCAATTATTCCTGGGATGGTCCTCCCTAGGCATCTAAAGGTAGTAACTAGTGATTTCAAGCGTTCTCAAGCCAGGTGGATGATAGGCAGATCATTTTTGTCCTGGGAAAAAAACGGTTCGGTTCATCCCGGCGATTTTTTACTGCAACTGACCAAGCCATTTATGGGCATGTTAAGCAACAAGGATCTGCTTGGTGATTGATCCCCCAAATTGCCATCATTGACCAGAAATCATCCCATTTCTCGGGATGATTTTTCAGCAGAAGATTCTCGGGACACCATCAACATCCATCAACCAAATATTGTATGTATCAAAACATGGCCAATCTTAACTACCCTGCCGCAAATGATTTCTTAGCCGGTTATATATATATATTATCCATTTATAGTGTTCATGCCAAACGATACCAAACGGTTAAAGTACTAAAGTAAGGTTGAAAACTGATTTGGGTGGTGTGGGATCCAGGTGCTGGAATTACAGTACAAAATTCAGGCAATTTTAGGAGGAATCAATCGTCCCACAGCTATATCAACATGGATCATAATGGTTAATCATAATGGTTAATCATAATGGTTAATAATGGTTAATAATGGTTAATACTGGTTAATAATGGTTAATAATGGTTAATAATGGTTCATAATGGTTAATAATGGTTAATAATGGTTAGTAATGGTTAATGATTGTTAATAATGGTTAATAATGGTTAATGATGGTTAATATGTGTTTTATTCAACAATCGTCTGAACATTTCAAAGTGCATTCGGCAATTCCCAGCCTGCGTTCGGCATAGGACACTGTCGGACACCTACGACCTAAATCCCGAAACATTGCCCAGCCTTTGTTTGCGGTGAAACATCTTTGATAGTATTGTTGGCTACGCTATATTACACTGTCATTTTTATAGTAAAAAACACTAGTACTGACAATGATAAAAACAGCTGTTTTTTTTCATCGCCCAGTTGTAGTGACGTTTGTTCAGATCTTCACTACGAATCCGGTCCACACCATGGCCAGCCGGTATGGCCATCAAACCCACCTGGAAAAGCAGTTTTCAAACCACACCTGAAGGTGATTCAACTCCAGCTCTTTGCAAAAGTGCTCCTGAAAGTCACCGCTCCAGGCATGTCGGAAGATTCAGATTCATGCTGAAAGTCGAGATCTTTGAACATGTAAATGTGTGCTATATATATAATATGCTACAGATATGTCATCATTATTATGAAATATTATTATCACATATTCTTAATATATATATATAATATATATATATATGTATGATTATATGTGTACAACATGTTGAACCTCTTGGATATTCTGTTCCAGCCCAAAAGTTGGGATGTCAACGATGAAAAAATGGCAGTCTCCGTGGCACAGATGATGGTCCCGTCCTTCATCTTCTTCTCATCCTTCATATCCAGAATCGCTTGCACCGTGCCAGCGATGGTCTTCGGGAGCTTGTCCACGTACCTCAGCCATGTCTAGTCATCATTCTATATCCAAGTAATTCCAAGTATGCTGAGTTAGATCATCCCTCAAATCCATGAATATTTGGTGGGATTCTGACCCCGAGCAATCAATTGGAAGGACTTCACGGGTCCCAAAAATTGTGGTCGTAACGGTTGTAACGGTTGTAACGGTCAACAATTTCCCGGGTGTGTCTGAAAATGGTGCATACCCCTGAAGGGCCACCTTAGGAAAAAATGATGATAAACCATGGGATTTTGAGGGTGTACTATTCTCAGACACATCCAAATAGTTTGTGGTCTCACCGCGCACCATTTCCATCAGTTTTCATCTTCTTGTGGTACAAATGCCCAACAGTCCATCCGTGAATCACTTGGCTCTGAAAAAAGGGGAAGCCCCAATTCCCATGGATTATCATCATGTATCCATATGTTTCCCATTATACCCTCTGGTAAACATACAAAAAACTATGGAAAATTATCATTTTTAATAGGTAAATCTATTTATAAATGGCCATTTTCAATAGCTATGTTAGTTTACCAGAGAGTAGTCACCCGAGAAAAAAATCCGAACAGAATTCCGGGATGGTAGTTATGTATCCCCTATCATGTCCTACATGTTCAGCAACTCCTTTTCACATCTGGCAACTTGGGGATTGCTTTTCAAATTGATCAATGGATGAAATGATCATGGATTATCATGGATTATCATCATTTATCCACGCTTTTACTTTGCCATAAGAACTGATGAATGTTGGCTATACCCCCTTTTCACAGTTGCCACGCCGCCTTAAATCGGAGTCAAACTTGGGCATCCAAGGTGTGGGTAACAACTTAATGACTCAATGACCACATGAAATACTCAGTCAGATAAATGGATTATATATGGATTTTATATGGATTGTATATAGGTTTTTTTTCATTATAAACCAGAGATCCTATCATATCTATGTGGATTCATGTGGGATGCACCTGCCAAGGTGCTGAGGCTTGATCATAGCTTTGAGCCTGTCTTCGAGCATGCCTTTGATGTACCTCATGGAGTCGCGTTCTCGCACAAGAAGTGCAACCAAGCAGATTTAAACATGTGACTAGCAAAGTGGAACGAGTATCTAGGGCACTTCGTATTGACAAGTGGGTCTTTAGCCGCCATAACTTGGGCACGCAACCCTGCCATAACATTCCTTGTTGATGGATGTTTATTTTTCTCGAGGGATGACCCACAGATGGTCAAAAAAATCGATGCTGGGGTCAGTGGTGACATGTGGCGACTGAAAAGGTTGAACTCCCCCATGATCTCAGTTTCACTCTTTGAATCGCGAAGGACTGAAGAAGCTTCGCCCCTAAATGCTGAGGGGCGTTCTTTTTTGCGCTTTTCTCATCTTTTCTCACTTATGGCCTCAATCTTTACCTCATGTTCTGATTGTTGTGTCAAATCAACATTTTTTACAACACCACACATTGATACACATTGGAGGTGTGACATGGTGCGGCACCCCAAAAGTTGCCGGGAGAGCTGGGCCCGCTCTGGGCTCGCTGGGAAGCCGCACGACTGAAGCTCACTGCCCCTGAAATGCTGAATGATCTCCTTGCCAGGGACCATTCTCAGGTGGGATGGTGAACCAAGGTGGCGAATCATGGCAAGTGTCTCCCCCGTGCTCCGAGGTTTTTTTAACATGAGTACAGGTTGATAGATGTTGATGGAAAGTAAGTAGGATTCAATTGCAGCTGAATTCACTCACCATAGTTGTCATCAGCTACATGACCATTCCTGCTGTGAAGAAGTCTACGCTTGCCGCCCATGGCTCTTCCATGCTCTTTTTTATGTATCCCTGACTCGAAAAGTCGGCTGGAACTCACATTCCAATCACTTTTGGCCTCTGCGTTGGTGCCCCTGGTTCACTCAAAAGGTACCCAAAAAGAAACTGGAGGATTTATGAAGAACAAAATGACCCCTTGGGAATCCTTGCATCTGCAGGTCTCAACCGTTGGATTTTGATGACCACCTCCTCCCCTAAGAGCTTAAAACATCTTAAAACCATAGCGGTCATAGCCCCTTCCACCAGACCTTCCGACCCCCGGCAGACACTCCTGCCAGTCAGGTGGATTGTCAAAGCGTCCCAGGTTGGGTTTCAACTTGCCCGCCAGCACCTTGGGCCGAATGAATCTTCCGATGGATTGATGAATGGTCATGAGATGTCATGAGGGTCCCAAATTACAGCCTCTTGCTAAGTCTAGCAATGGCACCATATTGCTAATCCATTGATGGTCCGACTTAAAGTCGACTTGGGCTCACAGCTGATCACTTTCTGCTGGAAACCATCTTCGGGGGGGGGGTCACTTTAAATCATCCCCACTTCTCCTTGGATCCGCAGATCCGCTGAGTTTCGACATGCCATGGATCACTCCAGTCATACCCAATCATAGCTTGATCCTATGGATAGCTCATACAACTCAAAGTCACTAAAAGTGTGGAAGGAGCTTCCGGCATCTGAGACTTCCAAGGCATCCGGGGCCTTTTTTTCAGTGCGGCTAGTGTTCAGCGCGTGAGAGGGCCATTTCCAACTTCCGGAGGTTTGATTCCTGGCTCCACGATCCGGCGAATGGACGACCCCAGGATAGATGGAGAAAGGAAACTGGACATATGAAGTAACATGAAGTAACTATAAGTAACTATAAGTAACTATAAGTAACTATGATTCCTATAGCATCCTGGAAACACTTTTCTATCTTAGGGCTACTACACATGTATCATGGACCTTGGCACTCATGTGAGCAAGTGCCCAAATCTGGTGTCATCCGCACTGATTGATTGCCTCAAACAACCATCAACCAATAAGGGTCGACTGGGTACGTCTCAAGTGACAATTTTGTTGATTCCAATTTCAAATCCACAAATCTAACCACCCAGGTCAGATTTTCTCCGCATTCAACAGGGCTTTGGCCAAGGTGCTGCAGTTTTTTGAATCACATCCTCAGGGCTTGCAAATCAAAGTCGGTGAAGGAATAGGAGGTGAACGGTCACAGAAAAACATTGAAAGCCTCTGGTAAGCTATGGAACATCACCCATTTATACAATAGCTGGATCTACCAATCTACCCTATTCAAATGGTGTTGTGTTTTTACAGAGTTTTGTTACCAGTGGATCCAGTGGGTATCCAACACAGCGTCCGCTTCGCTTTGTGCGGCATCTTGGGCCATTTGTCGCACCACTCCGGCCGCTGCTTGCTGGAATTGAGGATCCGTATCCTCGGCGCCGTGTGAAGCGCCAAAGACCACCCGGAAGTTTGGGGGGGCTTGGAGAATGAAAAAAAGAAGTGGGATGAAGTGGGACATTAATATTGATACATGAGATTATGGGATATTATGGGATTTATTCATATTGTGGGATTGATATGAATATTGTGGGATCATCATCCCTCTGGAAAGAACATTAGACCGATTTGAAACCCACCCAGCAGTCGTGACATGAAACGGGTGCGAAAAGTCAGGGCAGCCTGAGGTGATGAAGTCTGAATAAGTCTGAGCTATTTCTGTGGGTCAAGTGACCTATTGACCCCCTCTAAATGGATGGTTTTGTTACTGAACAGCACCAATTTTGTGGCTCCATTCTGGTCATTGGTATGTCATTTTTGGATCCATACCCCAAAAAGGATGTGTACTACGTTGGGAAGCAGGAGTCTATCCCTGTGACATCTGCGTGCTCTGGAACGTCCTTGTTAGATTCACTGCCCTCATCGAATTTCTCCCATTTCACTTGATCTTCAACAACCCCAAAATTTCCCAAACTGGCCATGTCAGGATGGGAACATCATGGCGCCAAGTAGCTGGATAGGGTCCCACAGGACCAATCTTGTCCAGCTTCACCTCGTGGCGATGCCAGTCGGTGTAATTTTTTTGATTTCTATGCAAAATTGACAAATTTAAGTTTGTCGAAGAGAAACAAAACGGGTATGAATGCTATTAACATTCAAACAGGCTTGGTAAACCTTTACCTACCTACCCTAAATTTATCCGAACTTGGGTTTCCCTTGCAACCTTTGCCTGGAAGTAGCAACTCTTGGCAGCAGAGTTAGATGAATCTTGTCCCAGTCGTAGTGATATCGGAAACCGAAAGTGGCAAGTAGCACCCAAAAGAACTCTTTTTGATTGCTTTTGGGTTCATTGATAATCTATTATTGATAGTGATAGATAGATTATGGATTGATAGATTATGAATCTATCTACATATATATCATATTATTGATCCCTTCCGACTGTCCCTTCCTTGGGTTTCGTATTGGATTATTCACTTTTGGGGTCCCTGTAAAGGCGGGTTCCTTCCAGGGATCTCTTGGAATTCCCTGTCCGCGGCATCCTATCACAGCGTTGCCTTGTTCTTTCCTTGAGAAAAATCATTTTGGTGAGATTGATCACTATTTCACTACCAAAGAGGTATCAACACATGATCTTTAACACCCTATACTTGAAGATCTCTTGGAAACAAGTCGAACAAGTATGAAAAAGTGCTCAAATTCCCCAAAAGAAAATCATACGGCATATATATATATATATTATCTATATTATCTATATTATATTATCTATATTATATATATATATATCATATTACAATATCTATATCAACTTGGCATCTGAAAACTAGGAGGAACACCCCTGAAAAAATTCCACCTATCATCCCAGGGGCGCGCGAGTTGATGGCATCAATCTCCACCTGCGTCCAGCCCAGCGCGGCTGCCTTGTTCTGCAGAGCCGCATCCACCTGTCGGGGGATGATCTAAACCCATCTGGGGATGGTGATTTTTATGGTGAATCAGATTTTTTGCTGAGAATTTTTATGGTGATCAGATTATAGTGATCAAATTATGGTGATTTCTGGTGATTTATGGTGATATACCAGAATTTTTGTGGTGATTTTTTGCTGATTGCGAGAAAAGGATAGAAAAGGCGCAATTGAACGAAAAGAACCACATGAAGATCAACAGATATCAACAGTCCGGAAAAAGCTCGAAAAGGATTGAAGTACATTGAAGTACCACTGTTTGGAAGTAGGATTTTGATGTTCAATCATGTTCAATCCTTAAAGGGGTTGCTACACGTCTCAATCATTTGAATGGTTCTTTTTTGGGGCATGAAGTGAGCGATCGATAGTGACTTTGATCCGGTTTGCCGGTTTGTGTCAAAATTTGAAGCACCAACCCCCATTGTTTAAAGCCTCATTCTCTACTACTGAAATTGCCACTGTGTTATATATATATATATCCCTCATTTTGAGCTTGAAGTCATTGATCCAAGTTGGAGTACGTACTTTGTTGGTCGTTTGGTGGATTTCACATGTTTCTGATAAAAAAAATCTTCGCATCATCTAAGTGATAGGTCCTTTAGTTACTAACTTTAGTTATTCTATACTTCGTGGATCTATATCTATATCTATATATATATTATTATCCACAGTGACACATCCCATGTATGATTGGTAGTATAGTCAGTATCACGTTACTGATCCCAAACCGGAAACCATGAGGCTCGAAGCACCGCATGATGCATCCTCAAGCCACTCGTGCAGCATTTTTTGCTCCTATCTTCTATGTCAAACTTGTGTGTTTGTGAGAACATTTACTGGACAACTCGGACAAACCCCCAATTTTTCAAATCCCATGGTTTATCACCATCATTCACCATCTACTTTCCAGATCTTTCCAGTAGTTGATGGCCATAAATTCGAGAGAAATCGCAGCTTTTGTGAAACAAACTGCTCCGGCCTGCTGCTGGTTCTCACGAGTTCGCTGCTTCTTCGCACCGGGGCGAGGGTCATCCCTGGCCCAATTCACTACGATACCTCAGTGGGGTCGATGACCTCAAACACTTTGATTCAAAGTGGGATATAGATATGGAATGATATGGATATAGATATGGATATGATAGGATATCACAACATATCACAACTAGAATATGGCGGGGATGTAACTTACGATATCATTAACCAGATATAACCAATACAAAAGCCTGGCTATGGAACACCCAATGAATCCCCCAGTGACGATGGATCGATCGTTTAAAAAAATGCCTGGTTTATCAGCTGGAATCCTGTGAGTTCATCCCCATTTCCAGTATGTGTATATAGAACAATGTAATTATATATATATAATATTGTATATTTACTGATTATTTTCTAGAATGTGGAACACATTGGAAAAACCACCATGAATGTAGATTACCCTCTGGTAATTTAACATAGCCATGGAAGCCATGGCCCATTTATAGTGGATTTACCCATTGAAAATGGTGATTTTCCATAGTTATGTTAGTTTACCAGAGGGTATATATACTGTATACAGTATATACTTATTATTTTATATTAATTTTATGGCCATGGGTCAAAACCCTGTACCCTGAAGATCAAAATAGTTGGCACATGGGTGTTCATCACCCTGAAAATGGTGGTATTGATCCATTGCCATATCTCCAAACATATTTCCATCAAATTCTCATCCCCATCGCAGCATCCGACGTGACTTTTTTCCAGTTGAACCCTTCGTTCCCCCGATGAAAAAAAACATTTTCCCCGGCACCATGCCTATTTCTGATATTCAAACCATCTAAAACCACCACTTCTGCTGAACATCCCCCATCCCAAACAGGGAATGTTCCCCGCACAGGGATTCCCATGATATATTCCATTATATCCCTATTAATATGGTGTGAAACCAATCACACACCATCCCCAATAGAGCTTTATCATTGGATATACGACAATAGCAATGGGATATGTAAAATGACCCCCAGTCATGGTTGGTGAATGGGATGGTTTATGACATTGGGTAGATCCACATCATATTCCCTTTTTTTATATGTCATTACATTCCACGATATGTCCCATTATATTGGAATATATCCCTATGATATTCCCAATAAATCCCGATTAATATACCCTCATTACATCCCCATTATATATATAGATATATATATATATTGTATCATAATCATATGTTATTCGCATATAGGGTATATTCCTCTTATATCCCTATCATATCCATCATTATTCCATTATGATAAGATTCCCATTGTATACCTCCGTATCCCATGGGATTCACATATTAGTGATTATACTCAGAGAATATCTCATTATCAATGGTTATATCCCTTACCCTGGAGAAAACTAACATAGATGTGGAAACCACTTGGTTTCCCTAGAAAACTAATCTACACACGCTGGGTTCTCCACATCTACGTTAGTTAGTTTATAGTGGGATATAAATAAATAAATAAATATATAATAATAATATATAATATATATATATCCCCATGATATCCCTATGATAAATCCCATTATTCATTTATTAATGGTTATATCACTTGTATATATCCCTATATTCATTATTTATTGTCTCATATGCTATTCCATGATATCCCTATGATATTCCATATTAGTGATTATACTCAGATTACATCCCACTACTAATGGTTATATAATATATATATATATATATATCACTTATATCCCCCTATGACATTCCCTTAATATATTCAAGATCCCTATTTATGATATTCCCTGGAAACTAACATCAAATGATATTCCACCATCAGAATAATAACCAATGAAAATCATATTGTGTATATATAATGAGGATTCTCTCTATGATATTCCATCATTCCATAGGATTCCCTTCAAAACAATGATTGTATCCACAACAAATCCCATTATCAATCAACGGTCATATCACTTATGTATTCCCCATTATATATTCCATTATACCATTGTCCCTATGATATTCCCATACGAGTGATTATACTCAAATAACGTCCCATGATCAATGGTTATATCATTTATATCTCGTATGTATCCCAATGATATTCCGTTTATATATCCATAATTCCATGGGATTCCCTTCAACATACACGGGGTACCCCTATGATACCCTCATTACATCACATACGTATACCAATATGCCATTATTCCACTAGTCCCTTATTCCATGATCCGTATGACATTCCCATTATATTCCAATGATTTTCCCCTATTTTCCCCTAATTATATCCTGATTCTTCCATATTTCCATGGCATTCCCCATGATATTCCCTTCAAACTAACATCATAAATCCCTTTGATCTTATCCCATCAAACATATTCCCATAAAATTTGTGATCATGATTTTCTCCAATTCTTGCTGCTTATATAACGGTTCAAGTTAGATCTCCCCACCATCCGCCGCCACGGCACATTTGGACCTCCCCAGGCGCTGTCCCGCCATGGCCTCCTTGGCAAACTCCGCGTTGCAGCGCCAGGTGTAGCGCACGAAGGCGATGGCCTTGCTGGACACCACGCGAATGTCCTCCACATCACCTGGGGATGGGATGAATCTTGGGATGGGGATGGGGGAAAAACATGGATTTTTAGGATTGTAGATTAATATCATGGGATGGGATGGATGGGATGAATCTTGGGATTTTAGGATTGTAGATGGCTTTTAGATGGTTTTTATATGGACTACAGTGACTACAGCTAAAAAAATGTGTGTGTATGTTGAATGATATATCAAATAGGAATCAGCTATTGGTTATTTCTATATGGATGATGACCAGCCATGGATTGAAGGGGCCAAGTGAAGTCTCAGGAATCTTGGGATGATCCAGCTGAACAAATTGCTTTTGTACTGATTCAAGATAGTTTAGGTGGTTCGCGTATAGCAAGTCCTCAATACTTTAATATCACTGCTGAAAATCTATAAGAAAACGCACCGCCACAACCCTGCCTCAAACATCTGAGGGTCAACCATCATTTTGCCACTGAAGCACATGTCATTTTGAGGTATCCCTTCCTTTTCAGAAAAGATCTGAGCAGTGCTCAAAACCCGACATTTCGTCCCTTTATATTGGCTGGCAAATAAGATTTCCGATAATGGATTGTGATAATCCCCAACCCCATATAATCATCAATAAACAATCGGTTATCAACTGTATATATATATATATATACGCGCAACGCCTGGGTTTTGCCCAGGCGTTGCAGCGTAGAGGTTTCCCATTCCCAAGCAAATGCTGATGCAACTTCGCAAAATTCCGATGGGAAAAACAACAAAGGTACTAGGGAATATTAAACTCCCACCCCGTTAAACCTTAAATTCCAATGGGAAAAACAACAAAGGTACTAGGGAATATTAAACTCCCACCCCCGTTAAACTTTACATTCAATTGGGAAGATCAACAAAGGTACTCGGGAATATTTATTAAACAGCTACTCCCGTTAAACCTTAAAATCCTAGGGCCCTAGGGGAAAAACAACAAAGGTACTAGGGAATATAAAAATCCAACCTCCGTTAAACTTTACGTTAAATTGGGAAGATCAACAAAGGTACTAGGGAATATTAAACTCCCCACCCCGTTAAACTTCTACATTCATTGAAGATCTTCAATAATGGTTTAATTCTCCCCACCCCCGTTAAACTTCTACATTCATTGAAGATCTTCAAAATGGGTTTAATTCTCATCACCCCGTTAAACTTCTACATTCATTGAAGATCTTCAATAAGGGTTTCATTCTCCCAACCCCGTTAGACTTCTACATTCATTGAAGATCTTCAATCAGGGTTTAATTCTCCCACCACCGTTAAACTTCTACATTCATTGAAGATCTTCAATAAGGGTTTCATTCTCCCAACCCCGGTAAACTTCTACGTTCATTGAAGATCTTCAATAAGGGTTTAATTCTCCCCACCCCGTTAAACTTCTACATTCATTTCTACATTCATTAAAGATCTTCAATAAGGGTTTAATTCTCCCCACCCCCGTTAAACTTTTACATTCATTGAAGATCTTCAAAATGGGTTTAATTCTCATCACCCCGTTAAACTTCTACATTCATTGAAGATCTTCAATAATGGTTTAATTCTCCCCACCCCCGTTAAACTTCTACATTCATTGAAGATCTTCAAAATGGGTTTAATTCTCATCACCCCGTTAAACTTCTACATTCATTGAAGATCTTCAATAAGGGTTTCATTCTCCCAACCCCGTTAAACTTCTACATTCATTGAAGATCTTCCAATAAGGGTTTAATTCTCCCCACCCCGTTAAACTTCTACATTCATTTCTACATTTATTAAAGATCTTGAATAAGGGTTTAATTCTCCCCACCCCCGTTAAACTTCTACATTCATTGAAGATCTTCAAAATGGGTTTAATTCTCATCACCGCTAATCGATCTGTCACGCCCTTTTCAAGCGCGTGGTTCCCGCGTGTGTTTGGAGCATATTTAGGTTCATATGTTTTAAATAATGACAATGTGTGCACAATAAAAGGTTTATATAATCAAGCATCGCTAATCGATCTGTCACTCCCTTTTCATGCAAACAATCCCTGCCACGTTGCGTCTTCGCGCCAGGCAAGCTGCCACAAGTTCCCGGCATGCCACATTTGTATACATTTGTTTTGTTTACTCTTTGGGTGCCCGACGGTGTCCGATTTTGGTATTCGTTGAGATGTTGGATGTCCACTATAGAGTCCTGGCATTTTTAGGATCCAAACGCTTTTTCGGAAACCTTTCCCCACTTACAATCCGGAAACCTGCAACACCTATATACTATATACCACATGGTACCGTTCCGGCACCTCTGCCATTTGCAGCTCTGGAACTTGCATGCTGGGCATGCTCTCAAAGGTTGCGACTGCAACTCTGCTTCAGTCACTGGCTTAGGTGGGAGAGGTCCTGAGTGGGGTGCATCAACTGTAAGGATCTCCTCACTAAATTTCCCTCTGGCAGCGCTAGGAGCTGGTGGAGCAATTGTGCCAGCTTCCTCTGCTCCAGCCCACTTCACCGATGCCTGGTGATGGGTGAAGCCTCTGCGTTGCTGCCGCCTTGCAAGTTGGCATGCCAGAGAACTTGTAACACACAAAGCCAAAATTAATGATCAGCTCGCCGTCACAAACCCTGTGTGACGGCGAGCTGATCATTGATTTTGGCTTTGTGTGTTACAAGTTCTCTGCTCAGGGACTGAGCCCATGCAATTCCCATCTGACGTTTTTCTTCCTTTCTTTTCTCTGCCTCCCACTTCTTTCTGACTGACTGCTCAACAGCCTCTATGGCTTGAAGCGACTTCACTTCGAGGCGGGCAGCATGCTCCCGATCTTCCATTTGCTCCTGCACACCATGAGCCACCAGCTCCAAGTACATACCCATTGTACTGGGATCAAACCGCATATTGGTTGAACTGTAGCGTCCCAAGCCGCAGGAGTGGCCTCCTTTCTTGTCAACTTCAAGGCAGAACTTGCACTCGAGCCTTTTCAGCTGCAGTGTCAAGCAGTTCTGGCAGTGGCAGCGGAACTGCGTGCCATGTGGTGACGGAAAACTACCGAGTTTCTCGTGCACCTCAATCCATTGACGAGCCTTTTCTCTCAGCAAGCCCACTCTTTCAGTCAACAGGTGCTGTGCTTGGTTGCTACCCGTCGGTCTGTCAGGGTGGTGTATTCTGGACGCCGCCGTATTATCATCAGCCATGTTGCGGGAGGGTCCTGAACCCACATCTCCTCGAGCATGAAGCTGCAGAAGCCAGCGAAGTGCTTCAGAATATGGATGATCTCGGTCTCGACCCGATCATCATGGCCATGAGATATCGCATGGCCATGATGATCGGGTCGAGATCGAGATCATCCATATTCTGAAGCACTTCGCTGGCTTCTGCAGCTTCATGCTGCGAATCAACTCTTCCGCTTTCCAACTGAACCTCACCTTCTGGTCTGCGGCGCTTCAATGGCACCACCGCCTTGGCATCCTCCTGTGAATTGAAGGATGGGGTTGTGCTACCATTTTGTAGTGAAGAAACGGTTTGCATAGCCTCAAGCTCTACCAAATGGATGTGCATGCATGATCGAATTTCACTACTAAATGTGGGCCCCTGGTTCAGCTGAAGTGCAGAATTTGGATATATTTTCGAAATGCCTTAAGACAACAACATGACTCGTTGGAGGCCCAACATGACTCGACCAAAACCCCAAAACCATTTAGTAGAGAAATGCAGGGGGTAGATGTAGTAGAGAAAAACAACATGAAACACATATATAGGCAACTGACAAAATCAATGTTATCACCGTTGCATCACTCCTGAATGGATTATCATCTACTATCTGGATTGACGTGATTCATCCTGATGGACATGGATTGGCCAAACGGCTATCGGGTGCAATTAGTAGTGGAAATCCACTTGGGGATGCCTTGGCTTCTTTCATTTCTTTCGAAAAGGAATGTGGCTCCTCCGGATTGTCGCCGACACGCACCCCGTTAAACTTCTACATTCATTGAAGATCTTCAATAATGGTTTAATTCTCCCCACCCCCGTTAAACTTCTACATTCATTGAAGATCTTCAAAATGGGTTTAATTCTCATCACCCCGTTAAACTTCTACATTCATTGAAGATCTTCAATAAGGGTTTAATTCTGATGATGATGATGATGATGAGGATGATGATGATGATGATGAGGATGAGGATGATGATGATGATGATGAGGATGATGATGATGATGATGATGATGATGATGATGATGATGCGTCGCCTGTCCTTGCGGGTCCAGGCAAAACCCAGGCATTTGCCGTATATATATATATGTTATGTATTCATCAACTATATCCATCTATATCCCCATATGTTTGATGCTTACATATCATGTAAATGCCATCAATCCATATACTAATAACTTTTTTCATCAAACAACAGATCCTAAATAGAGGTATACGGTGTGTATGTATATATATATATATATATAAACCCAATCTCATAAACCTCTTTTGGCTATGGTTTACCATTCGCATTTCCACATGACAAAAAGGATCGTGTCGTTCGATCCAGCGGCCCCACTTCCGGAAGTTCTCTTCCAATTCTCTCTGGACTTGCTCCACCGCATCGGGGGCGCTGCGATCGAACATCAGATCCCCCACAAAGAGTGTGGTACAGTCCTGGGCGCAAAAAGAGTTGGAAGCGGCGAAATTCATGGTGACGGTTGAAACATGGAAAACACACGGGAACCACTACAAACAATGGGTAAAAACATGGTTAAAACATGTAAAACAACAAAAACATACAAAAAACAAACAAAAACAAACAAAAAAACAACAGAAAACAACAGGACATCAACCCATTTAACCTTCACCAGTGCTTTCTAATTGAATTTCCCCAGTTAAATCCACTGTCCGTGCCTCACCTAATAAACATCCAACTTTCTAGTGATTTGAATTGAATGCTCTGATTTCACCGGCCATCGGGGTTCAGCCACAAGCCAACCCCAAAATCCACGAACAAACTGCTAAATTATAGGTGTTTCCTACTACATTGTACCCACTTGAACTGTGTTCAAAGTCCCAGTGTCATTCCTTTCTGCTGGTTGGTTGATATGGATTCCCAATCAACGGGGTCAACTGGTCACTGCTCGATGACTACTCTGGTAAACCCCAATTATAAACCATCTCAGTAACCAATCAACCAATCACAAAAGAGGGGCACGATAATTCCACTACTACTGGGAATACCCCATAAAACCCCTATGATGGCGACTATGGCGGTTTACCTCATGAAACCAAGGCTCAACAACTCCTTTCCAAGGCCAAGGCTCAAGCAGTTCATAGATATATCGCAAAAAATATCACCAGAATGGCCAAAGCCCAAAATATCCATGACGTTTTCACACAACCATACCTAACCATAAAAATTATCTCATAGATCCATTATGTAACTAATTCATACTAATTCATCATAACTATAAAAAACGATCCCCACGTTTTCCCCATCCACCGGCCAAGTCTCACTGTTGAAGCTTCCCACGCCGCCCATGTCGTCCCGGTGCTGCGAGAAGCGCTCGCGCCCGAAGATGTCGTGCGCTTCGTCGGCCGAAGCCATGTCCAGCACCGTGGGCACATGGTGGAAATAGCCTGGGTCTCATGGTTATTAGTGATGAATTCATAGTGGTCAACAGGGGTCAATCCAGCGATGCCTCGCCGTGTGTGGTGTACCTTGCGGCTGCCCTAGCTTTAGCTACCCGGGGGCGCGCCTCTGCCGCCGACCCCCCAAAATCCTTCACTCTGCTGGTGTTTTCACGTTTTTGGTGTTGGTGGCCGGGAAGAAAGAGGCTAAAATGATAAGATGCTTTTGGAAGTCGATTTTGGGCCAAAAAACATCGATATTTAAGGCGTTTTTTGCTTCGAGAGTGTCAAAAAAATGCGAAAACACCACCAATTTGACGATTTTTAGGGGTGCACAAAAATGCGAAAACAAGCTGTGCTGCAACAACAGCAACAACAACAACAACAAGAAGAAGAAGAAGACGAAGAAGAACAAGAAGAAGAAGAAGAAGAAGAACAAGAACAATAATAATAACAACAACAAGAAGAGGAAGAAGAACACGCACAAAAATGCGACACAACGATGTGTGGTAAGATGGTTACAAGCTGCGGTATGACAAGAACATCACACTGTGCTCTGGCGCAGAGCACATGAACAACACCAACGCTCACACTACTATACAAAATCCTTATGGCAACGCCGGTGTGCGAAGCTCTACAATAGGGGTTAGTGGTGAATAGTGACTAAATGCTTTCAGTAACTGGGCTTATAAGATATCTTATAACCCAGTTAATATCGAGGTTTCCAAAGTCATGGGGGTAGCCCCAGATCATCCAAGTCTGGGATGATCCTCCAAGCAGAAAACCACCAATGTATTGATGGGAGATGAGCAATCATGAATGGTTGATTTTACCACAATAACAAGTGTTATCCCCAAAGAAAATAATGGGATAATGATGGATAATGGATAATGTAGGATATATAAAGTGGGACTTGGTGGCTCATCCCACGCAAAAAAAAGTGGGTTAGTTCACCCCAGTTACAAGTAGGGGAAGTATAGGGGCAATGTCAGTCCAGTTTGAACTGGGGTGAACCAACCCGCCTACTAACTGGGATGAGCCACCAACGACAGGCAGACGGTTCTTACGGTGAATACAACTTAATGGACAAGTGGTTACTACTATCCTGTCATTGCATAGTTTGGCATAAGTTAGTAATTATAGGTTGGTGAAGTGTTTTTTTGGGGGTTCGTCCTGCATTGTATGACATCTCATCAATCTTCCCCCCACCCCTCCCAACTTGGGAATAGTTCCGCTCTGTTCCACCACAAAAAAGCTACGCATCCCATAGGCACAGAGAGAAAATCGCTACAACCCCTCCAAAAGGCTCGAGCTCAAACAAATAGAATCGCTACGACTAAAGTGTACTAAAGTTGTTGCCTGTACTGATGAACTATGGCGTTTCGGAAAATGTGTTGACCCCACCAAGCTGCGACACTTGTGCCCGAAGCCACAACAGCCACGCGCGTAGAATAAGCAGAAGCCCGGGCTTCCGGATCCAGGTAAATCAGCTTGCGTCCAGCCCGAATCCTTCTCAGGATCACATGTGTGGCCTGCGGAATATCTGTCTTTGTCCCTGGGATTGCGGCGGTCCGAAAGATACTTGCCGTACCAAACGTTGAAATCCTCGTGTCCTTCCACATATTGTGGAACCTCTGGGTTGTATGGTACTTGAACTCTCGCGGCAGTCTTCATCCAAACTTTCCTGGTGGTTCGACCAGGCACCCAAAAACTATGAAAGTTAGCTAGGATTCAGGATCATCCCAAGATAGAACATCAGGATGATATAGATAGAAACATGATAGAAATAAACAAGAAACATATAGAAACACAATATCTAGAATCTAAAACATTCTAAAACACCTTCGTAGTTTCACATCTTCAACCTCCTCTTTCGAAGGCTTGCTGTGATCGACCACGGGAAAAGGAGCTTTGCAACTGCAGCAGGCGGTTGCTGTGACTGTTGCCTTTGGCTTCTCCTCACCTGAAATCATCCAACTTTGGGGCTGGTTTTGAATCATAACCCACATGGCTTTTCGCAATCGACATGTTTTGGTGAGTCAAGAGGATCGTATCTCTGTGCGGCGTACGCGTGTTTGCTTTCCCTGCTACCAGTTGCAAAGGGATAATAGACAAATATGTTTGGTCGAAAAAACGCAGGGGGAAGCAATGATGGGATAAGTTGCAAGATTTTGGCAAGTATATACCTACAGTCTAAATCTGATATCGTTAGATGTAGTTTGCTCAGAGTAACAAACATACTGTCGTTCGAAGAGGTCTGCCTTCTTGGATTGTCCTTAATTTTCCCGTTTCCTTGCAACTCTTCATGACAAGTTGGTCGAAGAATGAACCATATCCCCTACTTTGGGGACTTTGTTTGCCAGTGCGATACTATGACTGAACAACATACCAACCGATTCTGAGAGAGAACAGCAAGAGGGTTCGTCTTACTGAATCTCTGTTGCTTTCTAGTTTTTGTCATATCCTTTCGCAAAGGGCTGGGTCATGGGACATACACCACCGATGCAGCATGAAGATCTGGAACACGAAACCTGAAAAACATCATCTTTCTTGCCGCTGCGATGAATCATGGTGCACTTTCCTTTTGTTTGGTGATCCCATGTGATCCCATGTGATCCCCTGTGACCCTCCCCAGGTCACGGCACCACTTCCCACCTTCGCCATCGATTTCTTCCAGCTTCACTTTCATCTCTCCATCGGGGTCCGGGTCTGCAGCTCGGAACTCCCCTGCCGCAATCGACAAGAAAGGCGGCGCTTCCCAGGAATCTGTCAGTGGCCACTTCCCGTTTCCCCCTGGCACCTGACTCCACATTCAGAAAATAGCTCTGTCCTGCAACAGCTTGGAGTGAACCAACTGAGATTTTCCAGGCTTTGGCAAACATTTTTTCCACCACCAACTGCTGATGTTCAATGGGCAAAAACAGGACGGAAAAGCTGTAGAGCTTCGCTCGCAATCCATGAAGTGTCTTCTGCAGAGGCATCTGAAGCAAGCAGAATTGGGGTTCCCAGAGATTGTAACTACCTCTTGGTGGTTTCACCCAAGATGATCTACGGATCATCCCAAGTTGGCCAATATGAAAAAAAATCACAATCATCATATCATCATACAGACAATATCTAATAATATCTAAGAATATCTAACAACCCATCTGACACCTTTAATTGTTTTAACCAGTAGACTTGAAGCTAAAGTGGCCCGGCTTGGCACGAAGTTTGGCTCCTGCATCATCCTCAAACGACACCCACACGGGGCACTGCAGCACATCCATCGTCGATTCCATGGTCACCCCACACCGGTAGCGGCTTGATCCAGCTTGGGATGGGGGTAGCCGGGAATCTTCAGCCCAACACGTTTCGCATTAGATTCATTAGATACCATGCAAACATCCAAGATTGACCCAGTAAATAGCTGATTAGTGTAAAGTCACCACGGTAGCAACGATTCCTATGGTTTCAAAGTAGCTGTCCAGTCGGTGAAACCCCAAATTTGTGTCGCAGCGACACGACTGGCTTAAGCGCCACAAACCCTTATCATACAGTATCCATCCGCTTTTTCCTTCGTCAACAATGGTTTTTGCTTTATGATGATCCAACCCATATTGTGAATCCTTAGAAAACATGGCTCAGTTCATGGTTAATCTAAATCCCTTAGAAAAACGGATTCAGTGGATTTTCAGCGGATCTAGATTAAGCCCCATTTTTTTCTAGAGAGTATCCTTTTTTAAAATTGGCTCATCATGTTAATCCCGAGTTGCTCGTCATTGGATGCCATCCACTTGGACTGGGTTTTCCCACCATCAGGGCCGTAGATTTGCCGATGCCATTGGTTCCCACTAGACCCAGCACCTGTCCTTGCAGGGCGACAGGGCAACAGGGCTAGGGCCCGTTGGAAGTCAAAGGTTAAAGAAGCTACAAAAATGAAGACCTAACCATCTATAATATTGAGAATATTCTATATAGTCATTTAAGACCAGATCTATAATATTCTATAGGATTCTAACAGAATCATCTATAACTTGGATTTGCAAAGGGCCAGTAGATTCCTCATTTCTGGACTCACCTGGGGAAATCATGACCGGGACTCGGGACCATCAGATTTCGTGCAACCACCGAAGAGATCCAAAAAGTACAATCCTACTAAATACAGTAATCGTAAATCACATATTTCATCATATTTCTATATTTCGGGATTGATTGCCCCCCATAACGTTAACAAAAAAAAGATATTTGTTCCATGTGTTTTCCGCCGCCATGATCTATAATTTAGATAGATATACCTACCATAAACCCAACAGTTATACTAGTTATAGCTGTAGTTATGCTAGTTATATACTAGTTGTAAATTTAGATATACCTACCATAATAGTTGCAGACCAATTTAGCGAACTTAATGAGGCTCCACCTAGTGTATGTAATTCACTGTCGACTGGTGGGGCGGATGCCACAAAAAAACGGTCGATTTCGACCTGGCCGTGGAGTAGGCAAGCGATGCAGCTTGAAGGTGTTGGGACCTCGAAATCTGCTGCGGCAGATCTGAGATTTTTCTTACATTGGGTTTCTGGTTTCTGTTTGTTTTCTTTCCAGTATCTATCTGCAACTGATTTATCATAGAGTATTTTTGGGGATATAGTCAGTCAGGATATTAAAAAATGATCTCTGAAACTGATATGATCTTTGGGTGTCTCTGAAAATGAGAGATTTACCTTGCCAAATAGCCGGTGGAAACTCGGGTACTCTTCAGACAATCCCAAAGCCACCAGAATCAAAGGATTGACTTCAGCAGGATATCAGCACCAGAGACTTCATGTAGGGTCCCTGTATGGTATGACTCCTACTATCTGCGGGAGTTTTGGCTGATTGAATCCTCATTTCATCATTTCATCGGACCCAGTCTGCCCAGTCTTGCTTACACCATTCCCTTTCATCTTGTTGCTTACATCCGGATCTTTGCTGCGAAAATCCGATTTTTGATTGGTTCAATCCATATCAGGTACCAGAGGGACCGCAATAGTTCTCCTGATTTAGTAGGGACTCATCCATAAATTAAGATAAGGGTTATACAATCTAACCAAAGCCATATTTTGGTTGGTTGATCCCCGTTGTTGATAAAAAATCCAACCCTTTTTCAGGTGGTTAGATCCCAGCCTCGCAGACTTCCATGAATTCTCCCTTTTATCCACGCCATTTCTCTCCAACTTCTCCCAAGTCCCGCACCATATCGGTGTGTGGTATGACTGGACAGGTCCTGGCAGCATAGTTGGATAATGGACATGGATAGCCGATGATTTCAGTGTAAATATGAAACATGGATGTCGTATACAAACACAGATAAGGGAATATAAGGGAATATCCGTGTAAAATAGACATGTTGAGGACATGATAATATATATATATATATCTACAGTACATACATATACATATACATATACATGTACATACTATATATATATATATGTATATATATACACATAAATATAGGCATATTATATTGGACATGTTGATATAATCGTTCATAACAAGAAACATTTACACCAGAAATACAGACGGCTTTCTAGTATAAAGAGGACCATTTTGGGTATGGGTCATATATTTGGGCCAGGGGGACCGCAGATTTTGGCTATTCTCTTCAGTATCAACCATCCATTTTTTGGGGCGTTTCAACCAACGGGCGCATCATCCCACTAATGGAGTTTCTTGATGCCTTGCCGGTGTCTTCACTTGCAAGTGGTAAGTTCTGCGAGTTGGTGATTTGTGATTCTATGGAAGAGCATCATCATTTAGCTGATTTTGCTGGACAAAAAGTGATTCTTCAGTGGGTCAATGGTTGTGCTCCGACCTTGCCCATTGGAACCAAGATCTCCATTTGGGATTTCGATCATGACTCTGCGAATGGGATTGCAACTGTCAAGGTCGATTTCAGTAGCCACACAAGGTGGGTGGTTGCTTTGCCCCGTGAAAAAGAAATCCAACTGAACGGTCGGTTCATTGAACTTTGTGCTGGCCTTGGTGGTTGGTCATGTGGACTGGGGTATATGAAGATGAACACGAGGTTGCTCATTGACAAGGATGTGAATGTAGCCACGGCTTGTAGCAAGTGGTTGAACCTTCCTTTGTTCAGCCTTAGTGAAGCATACGACATGGCTGCAGAAGGGAAAACGTTCCCATCGTGTGTTATCATTGCCGACATCTTCGACAAGAGGCTGTGGACGGTAATTGGATTGATTGGTCCTGACTTTGGCCTTGTCTCTGCTCCAAGTGAGCCTTGGAGTAGGGCCGGGCGTGGTTCAGGGCTATCTTCAGTAGATGGGAAGCTGATGGTTTTCATCCCAGAAATGGCACAGAAAACAGGTATCAGATGTTTGGTTGCTGAAAATGTGGCAGGGATTGCTAGCCATTCCCACTACAAGGCCATGGTGCATTCAGCCAAAAGATGTGGAATGCCAATCCGGTTCACCTCCATTGATGATTGCTTCCCAGTTATTCCGGTGCGAAGAGATAGGTGGCTTGCTACCTTTCTCACAGCGGAGATCCAAATTCCCATGTACCTATTGGAGTGGATTTCCAAAGTGAACTTTCCGAAGGTGCATCCGAAGGACTCCAGCATTGGAAATCGGGATTGTATCTTCCTCGACATGAATGACGAGGAAAGGCAAGAGCTTGTGCCTGATCATGCAGCAATGTTGAAATTGTCCAATGCCAAGTACTTGCCATGCTGGTTGTTTGAGGATGGTAAGACGGCTTTGGAGTGTCGCGCGCTAGGACCTCATGATATCTTGTCAGACTTGATGACTATGTGTGGTCGTCAGCATTTGTCTGCCGATGATTTGCTGTTGAACAAGGGACTTCTCACCACTTTGATCCGAGATCATGATGGTGTCAGGTACGTTAGTCCATTTGAGTGGATGGCCGCACTTGGGTGGCCATGCTCACTCCATTTGCCAAGGGAGATCGAGGCTGCCTGGACGGCTGCGGGCAACTCCATCTCCATCCCTCATGTGATTCTGGCTTTGTTCAAAACACACGCTTGTCTGCAAGATCGATCTCCTTGGGGAGCAAAGATTTTTAACCTGCGTGAGCTGATGAACATCGCGCTTCACTATCGAATCAAAGTTTCCAAAGTGAAACAAGTGTGTGGAGAGTCCACCAGGTGGCTCCAGTCAGATGATGTACATAGCTCGGTAGTACAGGTCGGTTCACCTCCATCCCCAGGTTGTGATCCTTTTTGTTTGGGTGGTTTTAGGGGTTTGAGTGTTTGTCCTGTTTCCGAGTCTGTGTCCGGAACATGCACCTTAGGTCCACTGCAGGGTTTGCATCCGACGGCATCCGTGAAACCAGATGATGAACATGCCCCTCCCCATGGAGGTGTACCGATCCCGAGTGGAGAGTCCTTGCTCAATGCATCCGCCGTAGGTCCACAGGGTTTGCATCCGACGGCATCCGTGACAGCTGAAGATGAGCATGCCCCTCCCCATGGAGGTGTACCGATCCCGAGTGCGGAGTCCTTGCCCAATGCATCCGCCGTAGGTCCACAGGGTTTGCATCCGACGGCATCCGTGAAACCAGAGATGAACATGCCCCTCCCCATGGAGGTGTACCGATCCCGATTGCAGAGTCCTTGCTCAATGCATCTGCCGTAGGTCCACAGGTTTGCATCCGACGGCATCCGTGACAGCTGAAGATGAGCATGCCCCTCCCCATGGAGGTGTACCGATCCCGAGTGCAGAGTCCTTGCTCAATGCATCCGCCGTAGGTCCACAGGGTTTGCATCCGACGGCATCCGTGACAGCTGAAGATGAGCATGCCCCTCCCCATGGAGGTGTACCGATCTCGAGTGCAGAGTCCTTGCTCAATGCATCCGCAGTAGGTCCACAGGGTTTGCATCCGACGGCATCCGTGACAGCTGAAGATGAGCATGCCCCTCCCCATGGAGGTGTACCGATCCCGAGTGCAGAGTCCTTGCTCAATGCATCGCCGTAGGTCCACAGGGTTTGCATCCGACGGCATCCGTGACAGCTGAAGATGAGCATGCCCCTCCCCGTGGAGGTGTACCGATCCCGAGTGCAGAGTCTTTGCTCAATGCATTCGCCGTAGGTCCACAGGGTTTGCATCCGACGGCATCCGTGACAGCTGAAGTTAAGCATGCCCCTCCCCGTGGAGGTGTACCGATCCCGAGTGCAGAGTCTTTGCTCAATGCATCCGCCGTAGGTCCACAGGGTTTGCATCCGACGGCTTCCGTGAAACCAGGTGATGAACATGCCCCTCCCCATGGAGGTGTACCGATCCCGAGTGCAGAGTCCTTGCTCAATGCATCCGCCGTAGGTCCACAGGGTTTGCATCCGACGGCATCCGTGACAGCTGAAGATGAGCATGCCCCTCCCCATGGAGGTGTACCGATCCCGAGTGCAGAGTCTTTGCTCAATGCATTCGCCGTAGGTCCACAGGGTTTGCATCCGACGGCACCCGTGACAGCTGAAGTTGAGCATGCCCCTCCCCGTGGAGGTGTACCGATCCCGAGTGCAGAGTCTTTGCTCAATGCATCCACCGTAGGTCCACAGGGTTTGCATCCGACGGCATCCGTGACAGCTGAAGATGAGCATGCCCCTCCCCATGGAGGTGTACCGATCCCGAGTGCAGAGTCTTTGCTCAATGCATCTGCCGTAGGTCCACAGGGTTTGCATCCGATGGCATCCGCCCCTCCCCATGGAGGTGTACCGATCCCGAGTGCACCGATGCAGTGCATGCCCCTCCCCCCGCCGTATCCATCCGCCGAGTTTGCTTCACGCTCATCCGTGCAACACTGAGAGCAAGATGAGCATGCCCCTCCCCATGGAGGTGTACCGATCCCGAGTGTAGAGTCTTTGCTCAATGCATCCGCCGTAGGTCCACAGGGTTTGCATCCGACGGCATCCGTGAAGCACCTGAAGATGAGCATGCCCCTCCCCATGGAGAGTGTACCCGATCCCGAGTGCAGCGTCCTTGCACAATGCGTCGCCTGTAGGTCCACAGGGTTTGCATCCGACTGCATCCGTGACAGCTGAAGATGAGCATGCCCCTCCCCATGGAGGTGTACCGATCCCGAGTGCAGAGTCTTTGCTCATCAATGCATTCGCCGTAGGTCCACAGGGTTTGCATCCTACTGCATCCGTGACAGCTGAAGATGAGCATGCCCCTCCCCATGGAGGTGTACCGATCCCGAGTGCAGAGTCTTTGCTCATCAATGCATTCGCCGTAGGTCCACAGGGTTTGCATCACGCGGCATCTCTGAAACCTGAAGATGAACATGCCCCTCCCCATGGAGGTGTACCGATCCCGAGTGCAGAGTTGCTCAATGCATCCGCCGTAGGTCCACAGGGTTTGCTTCATGCGGCGTCCGTGACAGCTGAAGATGAGCATGCCCATGGAGGTGTACCGATTTCGAGTGCAGAGTCTTTGCTCAATGCATCCGCTGTAGGTCCACAGGGTTTGCATCTGACGGCATCCGTGACAGCTGAAGATGAGCATGCACCTCCCCATGAAGGTGTCCCGATCCGAAATGCTGAGGCTTCGCTCAACGCACCCGCCAAAGGTCCACAGGGTTTGCATCCGACGGCATCCGTGAAACCGGAAGATGAGCATGCCCCTCCCCATGGAGGTGTACCGATCCGCAATGCTAAGCCTTTGCTCGATGCATCCGCTGTAGACCCATGTGGTTTGCATCCGACGGCACCCGGAGAACCTGAGAATAACCATGCCCCTCCCCATGGAGGTGAACTGATCCGAAATGCTGAATCATTGCTCAGTGCATCCACCGTTGGTCCCGATGAGGTGCATCTGACGGCATCCGTGAAACCGGAAGATGAACATGCCCCTCCCCATGGAGGTGTACCGATCCGAAATGCTGAGGCTTTGCAGGGTTTGCATCCGACGGCATCCGTGAAACCGGAAGATGAACATGCCCCTCCCCATGGAGGTGTACCGATCCCAGGCGCTGAGTCTTTGCCCAATACATCCGCCGTAGGTCCACAGGGTTTGCATCACGCGGCATCCGTGAAACCTAAAGATGAGCATGCCCCTCCCGAAGGAGGTGTACCGATCTCGAGTGCAGAGTCCTTGCTCAATGCATCCGCCGTAGGTCCACATGGTTTGCATCTGGCCGAATCTGTGAAACCGGAAGATGACCATGCCCCTCCCCATGGAGGTGAACCGTTCCGAAATGCTGAGGCGTTGCTCATTGCAACCACAGTAGGACAGGGTTTGCATCTGACAGCGTCTGTGAAACCTGAAGATGAGCATGCCCCTCCCGATGGAGGTGTATCGATCCGCAGTGCTGAAACATTGCACAGTACACCTACCGCTGGTCCACAGGGTTTGCATCCGACAGCATCCGTGAAATCTCAAGATGAGCATGCCCCTCCCTATGGAGGTGTACCAACCGGAAATGCTGAGCCTTTGCTCAATGCATCCGCCGTAGGTCCACAGGCATCCGGTGTGAATGAAGGTGACCGGGCCCCATCTGAGGTTGCGGTGCCTAACACGTCGCCATACAGTGATGAGTACCCAGCATCCGTCCGAGTTGCACGTGATAACAAAGATGACCCAATGAATGGAATGCACGGACACGAAGGCCCTCCCACCAAGCGCATGAAAGGAAGTCAAACACATTGGGTCGCTTTGTCGGAAGAAACATGGGGATTCGCACTGTTCCCGGAAGTTGCACGTCCATTTGAGCGAGTTGATCCTTCTGATCCTGATTTTGGGGCGTTGGCATTGACATCACTGCAGCATTGCCCCGACATGAAGGAAACAATTTCCAAGTGGATGATGCATGCAGTGATTATCACTGGTGTTGATCGGCTTTGGCCAACCACACGTGTTGCTACCATTGTTGATTGCGATAATCAATGGATCAAGGTAGGCCCGGTGAAATCATCATCCACAGTGCTAGAAATTCTCAGAAGTGTCCTGCCTCATGCAACCACGTCTGATTTTGCACAGGTGACTGTTGATGGAGCCAAGGTGCCCGCAATGTCTATCCCACCGGGAGTTGACCGAATTCAGGTTCAGTTCATCCCTGTCTATTACAAGGCGTCTATCAGCATGGATACTGGTGAAGAAATCAGCATGCCTGTCTGTGTCACAACCACTGTCAATGACATTTTGGCACAGTTGCAAACGCTCCGAGTGGTGCATATGTCATGCGTTCAAGTGATCCAGCATGAAAACATCATTGGATCTACTGACTATGTAATGAATGGGAGTTCTCTCAAGTTTGAGGTCCTGAGAAAGGCTGAGGTATTCCTGCCTGCCAAATTGCCTGAAGTTGCGTTGCCGGTAGGGTTGCTAGAGCCGCCTGCTCATGCTGACATTGCCAGGTCGTGCAATCATCCTTGCATCCGGTTGGCCATACGGGACCCAAAGTGGTCTACAGTTAGAACCATCGCAGTGACACGTGACACCACCATTGCAATGGCATTATCAAAACTCATGCCTGAGGAGTTCAGAGACTCCTGCGTCCAGATAGCTGAACCACGACGTATTCTCCTAGGTAGCATGCCAGTGTATGTTCTCTTGGGTCTCACCAACGTCGAAGTTCAACTGCAACGAAAACATGATATTCCCGTGGCCACGCTGTTGGCCTTCCCTGCAACGGCATTCGAGGATCAGTTCCAGCTGGGAGTTGGACAGGAAATCCCTGATGAGTTCAAGATCAAAAGATGGATTAGGTCACCCTTCCAGGTCAAAGCGTATGAAAAAAACATGCAGTCTTCCTCCACATTGATGGAAGTTGCAGCAAGATTTTTTGCCCACTGCAGGTCAAACCAGACCTTGATGGTGCTGATCAACGGCCGCATCATTGATCCCCGGCTTCGAGTTGCTGAAACCGCGTCCAGTGATGTAATCAACGTCCGATCATGCCCATTAGCTGGAGGAACAAAGAACCAAGACGTGAAAAACATGATCAATCATCAGCTGAAGAGCCGAGGTGTCAAAGACTCTGAATTGAAAGCCAGGTCTGAGATGTTCATTGCCAAAGCCACACCTGAGGCTCTTAGAGCCTTCATTCCAGAGCCATACCAACAGCAATGGAGCAGCATCAAGAGCCTGGCAAACAGCCTGCAGGTGCGCCTTGTCACATCAGAAGAACTCAAGAAGTTCCAGCAAGACAAAAAAGATGCCAAGAAAAGTGAAACAGCTTCCACAGCAAGCACGTCAAAATCCGATTCCAACGCCTCCTTGCGAAAGTTGATTGACATGCAGGATATCACAGTTGATATGTCCTTCCTTCATGCAGAGGGTCAGGAGGTGCATCCTTTGCCCGCCAGTGCATTTGGTGCCGACAAGACAGGAGTTGCTGTGATGCATATGTCCCAAGCCAGTGCATATTGCCCAGAAGCCAAGTTGTCTCCCGAACCATTGGCAATCGTGGCTATTGGCTCCAAGCCTATTGAAGGAAAGGAAATCCAAATGTTCCCTGCTCGCAACGGCAAAGGGGACCCAATTCTCATCCCAGGATGTCTCTTCAATTTTGGGGAGCCGGCGATCTCCACCAAGGATTCGGTGGCCAATGTTGAACTTGAAGTTCAAGATGCGATTGTTATTGAATTCTGGATTCAGCGTGCGGAATGCAAGCTGTGGACTGATGTCAAAACACCATTGCTGTATCTGGGTCAGACCATCAAGGATTTGAAGAACACTCAGATCATCGCATCCTGGGCCATCAAGTTCTACACAGGCCCTCGTGCAGTGGCCACCCACGCAGATGCAAAGTATGCCCATGGATTCATCCGTGTTCTTGCAGAACATGTTGACCAAGTCCTGGTGAAATCCGGCCGTGATGGTGTGTATCTTGTGCCAAAAGGTGATGATCGTCGACCTCATCAGGCTTTCACAATCATTCAGGTACCAAACAAAAGCTTAGAAGAACTGTTGGCCATGGCTCAAAGAACACCAAATGTCCTTGGTCTCGTGGACACCAATTCGGGTCTCATGCTGCGCTGCAGGCGCGAACATTACAATAAGGTCCGAGGTGCTGTTTTCCCTGAAAGCCCGTTGCCTGAGCAAGGTAACTATGAGCCAGGAGATGAACTTTGGACGTTGCGTCATTTGGTAGCCCACACGACAGCTAGCAGCCTCACCCAAGCCCTCAAGTCACTTGGGTGGACATCCGCAAAGGCACTCAAGCCTGTTGGGCCTAATGCCTGGTCAATTGCCGCGCGTGGAAGCCCACCAGCCATGCATGTAAAATTGAATGGATCGTTTGTGGTCATTACTCCAGTGTCCAAAACCAAGACAGGCGTCTCAGCCCAGGCCTTGCCAGTTCCGCTGAGTGCGCAATTGTCAGGTGCAGGTGGAACACCTGTTGTGAATCAATCACCGCCGTCCAGATTCAATGAGCTCAAATCGGAACTCAAAACACACATTGAGTCGTTGATTGAGGATAAGTTGACCGAAACCAGGTCCAATCTCCAAAAATTGAATGCCAAGGTTGAGACCACGTGTAGCAATGTTGCAGCCCTGCAAAAAGCGCAATCGGAGACTGACGGCAAGATCGGAAGCTTAGAGAAAACAGTCCATGAAAGCCATCAATCGGTAGTTGGTTCAATGTCACAGATGTTCCAGAAGCTTGAAGCCTCCATGAACGACCGATTCAACAAGATGGAATCGCATGAGTCCAAGGAGCCCAAAAGACAGAAAGTCAATGAGTGAAACGCATGTCCAATAAGGCTGTGGTGTATGGATCGAACCATCCAATGGACGCTCAGGAGCAGTGCCACCATCTTGCAGTGGCTAGCCGACCGGTATCCCACTGTATGGAATGGTGTACTAATTCGAAATACATATGCAGTGCACGCTGCTTGGACCTTTTGCTATCCAAGCCAAGTTTTTTGTCATTGCGACGTAGCATTCAGTGTCTGCTGTGTGCCGAAGTACAGCAGCCAGGTACCATACTGTCAGCTGGCTTGTATTTTGACTGCCCTATTCATTCCCATGCTTGTCATCTTGACTACATATTTGTTTATGATTAGCTTTGAAATCAAGGTGTTGTTCAATGCTGCCTGCAAGCCAACTGCTTTCTATCAAAGATGTCTCAGTCCGCACCTTCGCCAAGTTGCTAAGTGCCTGAAAACTAGGAGGTGCGAGCAGAATTTTATTGCCAGTACGGTTTCAAAAACCCATAAGTTGAGGTGTTGGCAACAGCCTCAAATAAGTTTTTATGAGTCTTTGCTCCGCAACCAGTCTTGCATGAGCAATAATGCTGATTATGACAATCATTCCCAAGAATGTGTTTTTAATTGGGACGCTCGAACTTTGTGGTTTTTCAACCTTGAAAATAGGTTTTGGAGCCCCCAAGGTTCGGCCCCCAACTTTGAGCCACATTCATCCCTTTCATCTTCGGACCCCAGGATTCTGGACCGCAGATTCTTGAATCGTCAAAGTATTCGCTACCATTCTAGCCAGACTAGTGGTCAAACATGTCATCAAAATTTTGTACTCTGGGTATTACTCGTATTTTTTGCAGGAGCTTGTCGAATTGGGGAAGCGGCCAATCCCGGGCCTCCTCCAACTCCACCTTATGACCCCAAATTGTTGTCAGATACTAATGATGTGCTTTGGGTTGGCAACTGTAACCCTGGGCAACTTTTTGGCAAAGAAGATATTGTGCTAGAGTGGGGAGGCGGAATCTGGACTTTTAGTGAAACTTCTGCAACAACCCCTGCAATCAAGTACCTTCGCTCAAAATTTAAGGAAAAAAAACGTAATGCCCTTTTTGGGGAACCTGTTCGTCCACACCAAGATTCTTCCATCATGCGTGGTCGGGCAGGGGGAGTTGCAATTGTTTCCCAATTACCATGCAGAAAGTACAATTTCCCTGCACCAGATTTCCTTCATTCATCAACTAGATTCATGGACTCGGTTGTTAATTTGCATGGGAGCCGATCTATCTATGTATGCTCAGTTTATGGAACAACAAATCATAATCAACATGATTTGGCAGTTACTGAAAATATATTCAACCAGGCCGCTGAAAGAGCTCTCTCTTTCCATGGTCCGGCAATAATTTGCGGCGATTTAAATGCGCCCCTCGATAAGTTTCCAGCTTGGGCCAAGCTCCAGCAGTTTGGCTGGGCCGACTCAGCTTTGTTGGATCAGAGAATTCATGATAGAGAGCCCCAACCCACTTCTAAGGGAACTGTTCGACATTCGTTTATACTTTGTTGTGGAGAGATGGCCAGTTCGTTTCTCACTTGTAGAACGGCTTGTGAATATGAATTTGATGCTCATCCGCTGCTTGTTACAGGTTTCTCAATTTCCACTTTGTGCACGCCAAGTTGGAAATGGGTTCTTCCAAAAGCATTGGATAAGTTTATATTTAATGAAGCTGAAATTGATGCGTATGGTGACAATTTTTGTCGATTGAATGCTGCGAAATTCCAGGATGCGATCCACAACATGGATATGGAAACAGCAGCAAAAATCTTTACCCATGGAGTGGAATCAACGTTAAAACATTCAGCAATTAGTTCTGAAGGAACCTATCAGTATATTCAACCTGGTCATTTTGGACGTTGGGTTAAAACACCACTCAAACTCAGGCTTGAAAATGTCCCTGTCATAAGACCTGCTCGAAACGGGGAATTTACTCCTATTGTGTCTCAACTAACCTTCAGCTTAAGGTACAGGACAAAACAATTGCGAAGAATTAAAGCACTAAGTCAACAATATTCATCGTTTCTTAAAAACAAACAAGAGACAACGCTTAGAGCATGCCGTAAGTTATGGAACTGCATCCTCCAGGCCAATGGATTTTGCAATGGTTTCCACACATGGATTGGGAAACACCTGGGCTTATTTGTCCCGCTGAGCCTCCCATCCCTGGAGTACATATGGGAACTTGAACGTGAATTTGATGCTTTTCACAGCGCTGAGATTCAAAAATATTATGCTTCTAAAAATGCAGCCAATAAGAAATCAATTGCAGACGATATTCAAGGTGGTGGCCACAGAGCTTTTGCAAGTGTTCGTGATGCTCCTGCTCCTCCTTTGACATCAGTCACCAAAATTGCCAGATATCAGATGCGCCGAGTGAAATGGACCAAGGAAGGCCGTAATTGGCTACCCATGGTTAGCACCCAAGGTATTTCCCGTGAATACCCGATAACCTTTCAAGGTCAAAAAAGATCCATCAGCAGAATCCAACCCCAAGGTATTCTTTTAGAGTCCCCCGTTACTCTGAAAGATTGTAAAGATCTTGAAATTACACAGCCTGTGACATCAGCCCATCCTGAACTAATGCACCAGTGCTTGATCGCTGAGTGGAGCAAAATGTGGAAACGTGACCCGTGTCACGAACCTGCCAATTATTGGGATGATTTCAATCCCTTCTTACGATGTATTAATGATTGTCCAACTTGTGAATTTCAGCCACTTACCCCAGATCGCTGGCTTGCAAATCTCAAAGGCGTCAAAAAAAATTCTGCAAGAGGAGCGGATGGCTTCTCCACTTTCGAGTTGCAGCTTGTCCACGGTCCTTTGCTTCATTTTCTGTTAGACATCCTGTCTACGATTGAGAAGGGGGCAAAGTGGCCAGACCTTTGGACCCAAGCCAGAGTAGTGGTACTATCTAAGGGGTTTGAGCCTAAATCACCATTAGATATTCGACCAATTTCCATTTTGCCTAAAATATATAGGACGTGGTCAAGACTCAGAAGCCTTGAAGTGTTACGCCATATTGGTTCAATTTTACCCCCGCAAGTTGCTGCCACTGCAGGTGGCATCTCTGCCGATTCTTTGGCGGCTTATACTGCTACTGTAGTTGAAGATGCTTTTTGGAATCGGGAAGATAAGTGTGGGGTGGTAATTGACATCATCAAATGTTATAACATGATCCCATGGACACCAAGCGCGATGTTGTTGGAAAACTCAAAATCCCCCATCAGTACATTACAGGACTGATGTCCCTGTTAAAAAATATTCGCCGATCCTTCGATATCCAAGGAAATTGTTCACAGTTCTTCAATGCTACCACTGGGATAGCAGAGGGGTGTGCATTGTCCGTTTCCTTGATGGCCGTGTATTCTTTGCTAACTTACAAAGTATTCCTTGCGATGCACCCGGGCATTCAACCTTTGTGCTATGCAGACAATTGGGGCCTGATTGCCAATGCCCCATCGCAGATCAAACCAGCCATATTCACGCTTTCAAAAATTGTTAACAGTCTTCGAATGGCCATTTCTTTCCCAAAGTCTTGGGTTTGGGCAACCAAGCTTTCGTGGAAAAATTCTCTTAACAACATTCAAGTAGATGGCCACACCTTCCCATATAAGACCCATGCAGTAGACCTTGGCTGCGACATTAATTATAACAGAAGAAAATTAATTACTGCTGGGAAAAAGCGTATTGAAAAAGCCACACGTGTTCTTAAAAGGATCCAGAAAATTAAAATACCTGTGCAATTTAAAAGAAAAATGATCCATTCTTGCGGATTTGGAACTATGGCCTATGGGTCTGAATTACAGCATATCCCATGTGCAGAATGGAAAACAATCCGTACAGCAACATTGGCCGCAATGCATAGGAAACAGGCAAGTGCGAGCCCGTGGATTGGAACCATGTTCAACCCATGCCCAGTTGACCCACAGTTAAAGGGGGTAATTCGTGCCTGCTTGTTTTGGAGAAGGTTCTTCCGAAATTTCCCTTCCTTAAAAGCTGGGTTTCTTGATCGAATTGTTAATTCACAAGCAGGACCAGGCCCGGCAGTTAGTCTGGGTAAGACCTTCAGAGCTATTGGTTGGGCACCTTTGCCAGATGGATTCCTCCAGCATACTCTTGGATTCCAGTTTAATTGGGTCGCGTGTTCAGTGACATTCTTGAAGTATTGGCTGCGCGTCTTATGGACTACACATGCTGCCCACAAAGCCCAATCACGGAAAGATTTTGATATAAGTTCTGTTGATGAATACTTGATGATGAAAGTCTTGAATAAGTTTCCATCCGACCAAAAACAACTGTTGGTGACGCACTTTACAGGGGCTGCTTGCACCGGCAACATGTATGCAAAGTTCAATCCCAATGTTCACCCCGAATGTTCTCTTTGTGGTGTAATTGACGATCGTGAACATCGCATTTTTAATTGTAAAAAGTATGAAATCCAAAGATTCAATGCCAAACCTCTTTTCAAATGGTTAGCAAAACAATCAGCTGCAACGAAACTTCTTGGCTTGGTTCCCTTGGATTTGAGTTTTTCAAAAGTGTTGTGGGAAAATCAGTTAGAATGGCCGGAGAATGTGATTCCCCTGGTCGATTTGGAGATTGCGCATGTGTTTGTTGATGGCTCGGCGTTCCATCAAGATTTGAAAATTTGTTGCATCTCAGCCGGTGCTGCAGTGAAGTGCCAGCCTTTTCAAATTGATCACACAAAGATCTTTGCTTCCCCGGTTCCAGGTGTTGATCATAGTGCGTATCGCGGTGAAGTCTTTGCAATATGGGGCGCTTTGTTGAGTTGCTATCGGGTTCACCTTTACATTGATTGTGAAGCTGCCCTAGCGATGTTAAAGTATCTTTGTGATTGTCATTCCTGTAATATCACACCCAAGATTCAGGATCATCATGATTTGTGGGAAAGGGTTTGGGTTCAAATTCGTAGCCGTCCCCCATGTATAATTGATCCACTAAGACTAAAGCCCATACTGATGTTGAGAGTATTGACGACCCTTTTTTGAAATGGCAAGCAATGGCAAATAATACTGTAGACGCTTATGCGAAGCAAGCCCTCCTTGATTGGAATCCCACGTTTGCAAAAGCTTCTAGCCATTATGCCATATCGGCAGAAAAACAAGAATTCCTGATTGAATATTGTAATTTTGTTAAGCACATGGCATCCAAGGTCACGGATTCCCCGATTAAGATTCAACCTGATGCCGTCATCGATTTTACAACACGTATCCCCGTTGGTCCGTTCTTTGTCCATCATGTGCCCCAGGCCTGCCCTGAAAATTGGCCTTTTGGTGAAATTTTTTGGAATAGGTTGAGCAGCTGGGCACAGTTGTTGCAATGGTCCAATGTGGAATCCAGGCCAACAGCCATGTTGGAACTATATATAGACTTTGCATTATATACAAAAACCATAGTACCCCTTCCAGTCAAACCTAAGGGAAAAAAATCAGCCAAATGCCAATATTATCTTGTTGATCAGAACTTGGAATATGCTGAAACTGAGTTTAAACTTTCACAGCAAAGTTTTACTTGGAACCGTATTGTTAACTGGACCCGTCACCACCAGTGTCCTATCTTCCCTGGTGATTGGGTCTCGCAATCAGGCGCCCTGAAGGATCTTGGAAATAGTTTTTGGGTCCCTGCTGTTAAACTGACTGCATCTTTAACCACCGGTGCCCTGCCGTATCAAAAACTACATTCTATTTTTGTCACCCCAATGGGGAAAAAGAGGAAAATGTGTATGTCATTCCGTCCTTAGTGGACACACAGATCGGCACCTGTGTATCCACCCTGGGAGGATGCATTCATTTGCATTCGATCCGGCATCTGTCATTTTGCATCCGTGCATTCGACTGTCCCATGGTGTGTCTCGTCGTCACCCCTGAATTTGTTGTTTTTTGTTGGTTTTGTTTGTGTTTTTTATTTTAATTAATGATCACAATCATTGGTGGGGACTTCACGCGTAGCTGGTTGTCTCTACCGCTGTCACACGGCATTAAAGTCAAAGGCGGAAAAAAATCCATTTTTTGGGGCACTCAATTTTGATTCATTCCCATATACAAACATGGGGAGATATGGCAACAAGACACATATGGGACATATGGGGATATAATCATTTATGACTATAACTTATAATCTACAAGAAAATGAAAGCATGGATATGAAATGATACAACAAGATAAGATGAGATGGTTTACAAAGTTGACACAACAAATTGACCGAACATCTGGGATTGGTTCGCACCTCTTGACTTATGGTTTCAAGCTATCCCAACCGGACTAGTCATCATTAGAATGGAGCCACCAGTCAGTGAATCATCTTGAATCTTGAGGCATTGCCGGTTCGCTTAAAGCAACATGACATCAACGTTGAGTATTTCGCCAGGAAACATGGTGAAAGCCTCCTGTGATTCCCATAATCAATGTGGCTACCATGTTCAATGAGCATCTCAGCCATTGATGGGCACTAAGTACATCCTCTCACAGTTCAACATGTCAAAGGTGGAAACATCTTTCGGGTCCGGTCAGTACATCATGTTCAAGAGAATGCAAGTGGGCGATACCAAGTGGGCAGACTCAAAAAATATCCGCTGAACCCCTCATCCCCTCTTCATATTTTCGTCAAATTGGCTTCCCATATTTTCGTTGATCCACAGATTGCACCGGAAAACTACAACAAAAATAACAACTGTTGTATATGAATACTATTCCAATTAATATTGATAACTACTCCATTGATTAAATCTGTGAACAGTTAACTAATGTTAACTACAAACTTGGAATAAAAAACTCCACAAAAGGCTCTACACCCGTCAACGGGACCCCGTGCCTTGGGCAGATTGATGATTTGAATGGCCTGGCACTTGGATGACTTGGATGTGCATCCCAGAAACTCAGCTGAGCTATACATACATATACAATATATATATAGTAACTCACTATAGAAAGATAGAACAGTAAATCATCACTATGTTACATAGTAGGATGCTTCTGAATCCTATCTTCTTGAAGGTTGCTATGTATATGCATATATTGAATCTATTCTACACTTTTCTACACTATCTAATATTTGCTATTCAGCAATTACTAGCTGAGATGCTCATCCAAGTATCTCAACTATGCGTTTTCCTTCTACTGAAACAGTTTTTTTGGCACTGGAAAGCTTTCTGGACCGCCTCACGTCCCAACATCCAAGCGGTTAACAAACAAAGCTCGCCTCGAAAGGGCACTTCTTCACGCAAATACCGCAACCTTGGGATGAAAAACACTCCTGGTCTATGGTCGTCTATAAGTCACATCCACCATGGTTTCGTGTTGAACATGTTTAATGTTAATTATCCTCATTAATATTCCCATTGAAAAAAAACACATTCTATATAATCACCATGAATATATCCATTAATCACCATTATACAACCATGTGTTTATTAGTGCGGAGATGTGATTCTGCTTGGGTTTCGACCCAACCCCCAAAAAAACCGCTGATTCCTTTTCGATCCTTTTCGGAAGAAGAGACACCGATGCAGAGCGTCTCCGAGATCCAACTGATCTTCGAGTCTTTGCTGACCTTGCGGTGTCGTCAAAAGGGGTGACATAAAATGGATCGTTCGTTATGGACCAAAACGCGGGTCATTTATGTCATTTTTGATTTTTGTTTCACCATTTGCAACATTTTGCAACCATCCCTGAGCATTGGAGGGTCAATCATGTTTAGTCACACCCGAAACACCAGGCTAACGTCTGACTGAACCTAACATGACTGATTTCACCCACAACAGAGGAAGCCATTGGAAGCCACGTGGAATGTTGTTTAATCTAAGGATTTCAGAAAAACTGCTTCAAACAAACAAGAAATGTGGCTTCACCAACCAGCTAAAAGGGGGAATCGCCCCAGGTGGCAAGGGTGATAATATCACAGAGACCCAAGACATGCAAAAATCGATGCCTTTTGTATATCATATGTTGAATATTGTTGAATAAATATAGACACAGGAAGCAAAACTCAAAAGTGATTTTGCTTTAACATTTGGAACTTCATTCCATGGCATGGTTTTCAACACCTCAGTTCATATATTTTCTGCAATGAAAAATGCTCGTGCCCTCAGTTTGTCCCAGCGCTGTCCAAGCGCTGTCCATTCCTACGCGACACTGCCTCCACGCAAAGCTTTCCAGTTCGCACAACAGGACAATGGGTCTTACATTCCTGTTTGCACCTGCGACCGACCCAAAAAAGGCTGGTCATGGAAATAACACCATCAATGGATCCATCATATTCAAACAGATTCATTCACCAACAAGTTTCATCTAATCATTATCTAACAATCAGTTTCTTTTTGGATGTTCTTTTTTTCCTGAGGGTATGATTTGAGCATTTTTGAGCAATCTAGACCTTACAAAAAGATACAAAAACGCCATAGCGGCATGGCAGCCCTCCAAATCTGGTCTGGGAGAAATGGCGAAACGTGAGCTGAACATGGAACATGGATGGGTCAGACAAATATCATCTCATTGTATCCCATTACTATATATATATATATATCTATTAAATGATATTACTAGGGCACACTCAATTTCATGCACCCCGGGGATTGTTTTACTTCAAATGAACCCTTTTTTGTCACTCGGATGGAAACTTTTCATGTTGAGTTGTCACGTTGATGAAGGGAAAGGTCAACCCTGGGATCAAGAACGCAAAAAAAACATGAGTTTGGGCTTCTTGCAAACATCAAATTAGGCAATGTTCGAGGGTTCACTAGACCATCGAACTCCCCGCGAGCCAATGGATGTCTACCCTTATCCCCTACTTGAGCCATGAGATATGGATATTCATCAATGTTGGGTCCTCCACTCAACTCAAACTCAGCAGTCAATTGCAGTTCCCAACAAATCTTCGATTTCGTACATACCATCACCTTTTTCAATTCGATTCTCTATGGATTCTATCTGAAATTATTGCTTATATTTATTTATATTTTCTTCTTAAGTCTTCTTGGTGGCTTTGAATCCCCACATAGAAGTGGTTACATCCCCATCCTGGTCCATCCTGGTCCATCCTGGTCCATCATCCCTTTTTCGCCCTGAGGTGTCCCCACTTTTTGGGCTTGCAACGGTCAGAATTCACAATGGCAATTCGTAGTTTCTTGTCGGGGTCCTCGCCACTGGGTACCACTGGGTACCACTGGGTACTGGGGATCTGGAAAAGTAGCATTTCACCAGGACAGCAATATGTGATATTTTGTAATATCATGTGTAATCCATCCATCTCTGTGTCTAGGTCCTCTCTGTCACCTCCTCCTGCGGCCTTTTTTCCCATGCCTGGGATCACCATGGCTCAGACCCAGGGCACCAAAAAAACGTAGAACACCGCACCACATGGGACATATAACATATATATATATATTAAGAATAACTATAAAATACTACAAATATATTTAAAAAAAGGGGATATAATGGGAGCCAATGACAACCTATGTGATATATGTTTCTTTGTCTCAAAATGGAGGATATACCATGATACACCCCTATTTTCCATGATATGATGTTTTCCATGATTTCATGGGGTGGAACGCATCAATTCATGAACCGGTTTGATGACCAGAAATCACATCGTGACTTTAGTGGGTCAAAAATGGTCAACACGTGGGCAATTTCTGATCATCAGACATGGCTGAAAATCCAAGCAATTTCAAGTGGGAGATCACCCTGCAACAAGTGGATTTTCCAGCCAGAATCGAATACCAAAGTGTACCCCAAACACAGGCTGGTCTATTCATGGTCAGGTTGTGGTTCCCCCTTCTCAGTCTCTATTTTCGACAAATACCCCCGAGTAAAATGGTCCAGTTTCAACTGAACCGAGTTTTGGTCCATTTTCATCTCCAGAACTAGGACTCAGATATCTTCAAATCTTTAGTTCCTCTTCATCATGGTAATTATTCTATAATATTCTATAGTTTTACCATGATGAATTGGGAAAAGATCCTCTATCATAGAAAAATATTTGGCAAATCTCTATATAATTATTCCCCAAATATTTCTCAGATTTTTTCCCTTCCGTGGCTTCAGCAGAGTGTTGATGTGCAAAAAACCCGAGCAAATTGACACAGACGACAGGCCACAGTTGAGTTCACACTCCCCCAAAATGATCAAACCACAAAAAGTGGGATGAAAGGCCGTCAAACCATGGTCATAACACCATGGTTGTTTAAAATATATTCAAACAATTATAAATCCGGACATCCAAATACTGGGTGTTGACACGGATATTCTAAGTGGTTATAACTTATAACGTATTGCCAATGGTTGCAAACCATTCAAATATATTCAAACATATTCAAACTATGTATGTATACACCAATAGCACTGTATCCACTATTTATCATCATTGAGATATGATAATATATGATATATATATACATACACCATTAGTTTATGATATGTTACAATCATTGACATAGGCACCATTCTAACACCCGGAGAAATGACCAAGGGCCTCAGGCTGCCACGCTCGAGGCTGCGCCGGTGAATCTAGGTTTTCTGTTGTGGTGCTGTGGGGATCCTCAAAAATGATCATTGATTGATCATTGATGAATCATTGATCATCCATGGTATTCCATGGTATTCCATGGTCAACTTGGCATGATTTTTCCAGTGTTCCAATCTTCGACTCTTCGGATTATGTTTCATGGCAAGTCTTTGCAGCGATGGAAAGCAGCGGTAAAAAGGCCGAAAAAAATCTGGCCGCCAGGGAGGAATGTCGACATTCCAACTCCCAGAAACCCTGTTATTTTAAAACGAGCAAACAACAAAGTTGTCTACCTCAACAAATAGACATCTTAGGTAAAAAATGGTGAAATGTTGATGAACCATGGGGGTTGGGGTACCAAGTCTTGAGACCCACTGTATACCCACTGTTTCCCTTTGGAAGTTTCAATCGATGATCGCCTTTTTGCATGACGCATCCGTGGAAAATGCAGCTTGCAGCATACAACTAGCAGACCACCAGCGCACCGGCTTTGGTGCTTTGGAGGTTTCAAACATTTTTGAACAGGTCTGGGTCAGTCAAAGCCTGTACAACATGTCACCTCGGACAGAGTTTCGTGCAAATTCTGCACAAAAGCGTCAGATTTCTGTTGAAGGTCCTGGTGATGCAGTCACGGGTAGGATACAAAGAAAGCAAGTGACCGTAGCCGTGTACAGTATCTGTCTATATATATAATATTATACTAGTATCATATGTATATATACACGGTAACTACCGTATATTTGTTTAATATATATATATATATTTATATTGATGAAAAACATACATTTCCCTCTTGTGCAGCATGCAACTCAGTCCACATTTGCCTACAATACGTAAAATGAACGCATAGTCAAGAGTGAACATAGGTGATTACCGGCGCAAGTGTTTGAAGTATGTAGACAGTAGACAGTAGACGCCCGTATTTTGTTTACAAAAACCATAAACCAAAAAACATCCAAAAACATCTAAACACATCTAAAAACCAAACTTTTGTTCAACATGAACAATGACATAGAGCAGGTACAAGAAGTCACTCTTTTGGTCAGAGACTGAGAACACAGGGAGTCATAGTTGTAGTCCTCGATTTCATCCTGGTCGTTGTAAAACACCAAGTGTTTCTCTTCAAATCCTGGATGCTGGCCATTGAACCCAAGCCTGTTCTTCGGGTGGTAGACGATCCATGTTCGCTCAATTTGGATCCAAACCTAGATCGAAATCATTTTTTTCAACATGTAATGCTGTTGTTTGGGATGTACCCTCCAGTAAACTAAGATAACTATGCAAAATCATCATTGTTAATGAGGTACATCATCTATAAATGGATATCAATGGGCATTTCTCAGCTCCAAAGTTGCGAAGCTTCCACTCCAAAAATCCTTTCCCAGTTGGGGGATACGATTTTAGCGATCCACGAATCAAAAATCGGATTCAAACGGATTCAACCAACTGGAGGCCATGGACGGGGCCAGGGGCCCCAACGGGAACGGGAGCACGTAAGGCTACTCAACTTCTGGTTCCCCCAAAAAAATCAGTAAAGCAACAAGAAAAAGTACCTGGGAGGCGCAGCCCAGCATTCCAAACCAACAAAAACTCCATCATCCCGATTTTTTTAAAATCCCATGTCACCAATTTTCTAGAAGGTAAACGCCCGCCCATCCAGCAACAAAGTCCCATGTTTTGCTATTTCTGTGGTGACACCCAAGCCTTTTTTCTTACACGTTGCAACTTATCTGAGCAGTGTCCAAAATCATCTATGATTCACAAAACTACGAAATTGGTTGAGATAAAACTGGGGCTTCCCCAACGTCCCACTCTCCAGATGATCAAAGCCCATAAAACCAGTGAGGCTACAGCCCAAGGGCCCAACATATAGAATCAGGAACCACCAGGCACCACCAGGGCATTGCTAACTTGTTTAAGAATCGGTCTTTCTTGTTGATCAACTATAGTACACCTCTGTACGAGTAGCATTTTTTTCAATTTTTGAACATGCATTTTGAGTGTGGCTAGCGGCTAGCGACCTTGAATTTCAATCCTGTGAAACATGGTCTTCGCCTGCGGGCGAAATCACCAGTTCTTTCTTTCCCTGTTTTCATCAGCAAAAAACATGTCTCCCAATCTTCAAAAGACCTTTACAACACCCTGGTGGAAAGCTCTTTGGGTCCATTCTGTCCTGCAGTGATGGTAATTACTTGAAACGACCTACAGCAAGTGCGTGGATAGTTTGTGTTACACAGGCTCTAGTTCTATAGCATTGGCTTTGCCTGTTGCAGCTGGTTGACATGACAAGGGGTGCGGTCGAGAAAATTGCTGCAGCACTTAGTACTCAGGGACTTCAGGGCGAGGATCATTTTTGCAGAGCGGCATGCATTGTTGTCTATCGGGCTGACGTCCGGTGTGGCACACTCCACATACTTGCTATAGCAAGAGGAGGATCAGAGGCAGGAGAAGAGAGAGAAAAGGAGGCGGAGGGAGACCCCCATCGAAAAACACACATACCCTCCACCGATCTTAATCCAACCATTCAAATTCAAATCTGCATGTTCATGAATCTTTGACTTGTGATATTCCCTTTCTTGTTGAGTTGCATCGCTCGTTTTGGTTCATTCATACCATCGTTTCCTTCCCGCTTTATTTCCAACTGTTCGCTGGTGAATTTCTTGATGTTTGAAGGTGAAGTCTGAATTACGAGTACCGGCTTAATCCCCCACATTTCGCAGGTGAATCCCCAACTTCTGGACGAAAAATTCCCCCAACAAAAACAAAAAAGACCCATTGGCTGAGGCCTGGAGCTTCGAAGTCCAACTTCATCTTCCGCCCCAGCTGCGCATCCACGCCACTTCCCCGCTGTGCCAAGCGCTGGAGTCGCGCCTCCTCATTGGCTTGGATCCATACCTCGGCGGCGAAAAATCCGATTGGAACCAGGTCACCAAAATTGCCATTCCAAGCCACCAAAAATGAAGGATTTGAGCCACATAAATGGTGAGACATCTTCAAACATGAGTATTTGAAAGGATAAACAATTGCAGAATATTGCAGATTTGACATGATTTGACCAACACAAATGTGGATTTAATCTAAAATCTAATTTATAAATATATTTAAATCACAAAAACGGTGGATTTGACCTACACACGCCTTGGTAAATCTACAAAAATTGTGATCTCAAACCAACAAAAATTTGGATTAGGCCCACACAAGAGGCGATTTCAACTACAAACAAATGACACAGGCAAGGGACCCCAAACAGTTTGGGGCAAGTAGTATGGGAAAGATCTCTGTACATCGGGGTTCCATTTCATTATGTGAAGCTGTGCAGGAGTTTTAGGGCGGTCCAACTTTTGTGCATAGGGCCTCAGGCTTTAAAATGCACAAAAACAATGAAAACTGGTTCTGCAATAAAATGCCTTGCCAGCAAATTCATACCCGAATTTGCATCCAACTTCATCCAATTTCGAAGACCCTCAGAAACGCCTCTTTAAAAAGGGGTCAGGAAATTCTTTTTAGATAGGGGTATTTTAGAGTGAAGGTGCCCAAATATTAAGTGTTTTTCTTTTTTTAAAAGCATTTTATAGCAACAAAATACGGTGGCATTCTTTCGTGGCAATTCCTTAAAATTCCTTTAAATTCCTTAAAATTCCAAAAAACTCCTTAAAATTCCTTAAATATCCTTTAAAATTAAAAACATTAAAGATCCTTAAAATCCTCCAAATTCCTTCAAATTCCGTCAGATTCCTTTAAATTCCTTAAAATTCCTGGAAGATTCCTCAAAAACTCCTTAAAATTCCTCGAAGATTCCTCAAAAATTCCTTGAAACTCTCTAAATTCCTTGAATTTCCTTATAATTCCTTTAAAATTCCTTAATATTCCTTAAACCACAGTACATGATATCCCATATCATGGGGATATGATGTATTGATCCATTGATCAACGGATCATCTCCATATCCCCATCACATCACCATCTCCGCACACCGCGTCACAAAGGTGAACTCCGGATGCCTGGCGCCGATCTGCTGCCGGTGCCGCCGCTTGAAGGTGGCCTGCGCCACCGCCAGGGGCCGCGCGGGGCGCCCGCAACGGAGAGCCTGGCAGCGATCTGCCAGGGAGTGGAGGGATGGTTTTTCGTTGGAAAACCCACGGTTAAGACATGTGAAATCCCCAGGAACATCAGAAAAATGATGAAGAATTGGGGTTTTCCTACCCCAAAACAGATTTCAAGTGGCCAAACGCTTCCACGTTTTTGGGCGAAATATGGATGTCCACCTCTGGCAATCCAGTTTCTCCGGATTGTTTCTGAACGTATCGATCGATATTGAAGACCCGCAAGGCGGACCACTTTTTGACATCACCTGTAGTTTTGGACTTTGGAGTGCCCACTTGACTGTTCAACATCTGTGCCAAGATGGTTGTATATCCCAGCCCTGTTTGACATACAGGTGATATCTTTGTTTTATTCTCTTGGATTCAGGAATGCGATAAACAATGATAAACAGTTGTTTGCTAGAGCTGGTGATTTTTTGAAGTCCCTCGTCTTGCAACGTTTCAGCAGGAGCTCTCCATTCTTCAGAAAGCGTGCAAGCATCCCCCATCATATCAGGGTGTTGCAAGTGACCAATCCTTCTTTGTCTTCCTTTGTCACATGATTGTCACACCAGTTCCAAAAATGTTTCCCATCTTCGACTTTCAAGTCCCAATGCATACATGTCTATATACGCACACATACACACACACACATGTGCGCATATCAATAAACTAGGTTCAAGTCATATATACATGCAAAAAAAGCACACACAAAACAATCATCATATGTACATTTGTAAAGATGTGCATTATTAACCAGATCAAAGAATTACATACACAATCTCATGGCCAATCTTAGACACCCTGCCAAAAAGAAATAGATGGAGTACGTCTTTCACCATTTACAGCAAAAGGAAATTGACTGAAGTTTCCTAAAGAGGCCATCTAAGATTTACCCACAAAAATAAAATTCAATGATTACAGAATCAACCAATTGTGAACTTGGTGACTTAAGCCTGGAAAAAAGGATCCTGGAGCCCATGGTGACAGTTCCCGTGCAAGAGAAATCATCAAGTTGAGAAAGTTACAGGATTTCATCAAAAGTTATCCAGATCTGTACAATGACAAAGTGGTGCCCCCAAAGTTCTAAGTTGATTTATAACCCCTACCTAACATAGTGAACTACACATAGATAAACCAACTTAGCTAACGAGGTGGGCCATCATCACTTTGCACAAATCTCTCCTACCATTTGGGTATATGGGTCAAAACCTATGGAATCGCTTCCGTTCAAATCACAATAGCTGGTAGCCTCAGTTGTTCATACCCAGCCAATTTTCGTATAATATAGTATAACCATCACTGAACCTCCATTCAACTACCATTAAACCACCATTGTTGATGGTTACCCTCTGGTTAGACTCACATAGCCATGGAAACCACCATCTTAAATAGGTAAATCATCTTCACTAAATGGGCAATGGCTTCCAGTTCGCAAAATTTGTGTGATGGTAAATCCCCCCCGGAAATTCACAGGCTTTGATCAAAATGTCTACCAGTACCGCTTCCACCGCTTGGAAGTTCCAGTTATAAGTGGATACATATACATATATACATATATATACATATACATATATACATATATATATACATATATAATATATATATATATACTAACACTATAGATATTATAGGGTCCACATATCCCAACTGTTGGGTTATATCATGTCAAAAATCCCAACTTCATGGTGCTTGAAATTCCCATGCTACCCATCTACCCACCTCCTGCTGCTCCATGTCCTTTGCCACCTGGATGCAGCGTGCGATTTCCGCCACGTAGCGATCGCGCTGCTCCTCCGTGAAGCCATGCCCTGCCGGCGAATCCCACGGTGAATCCCTGGATGAAGAAATGGAGCTTTACCCTCTGGTTATGACTAACAGTTCGCCATGGGAAATGGCCCATTTATAGAGGTTTACCTATTAAAAATGGTGATTTTCCATGGCTGTGGCTATGTTAAATAACCAGATGGTAAATGGAAAAAACTTCTAAATAGATCTAGCGGATGTTCAATTGCCACGTTTGATTACCGGAGGATAGATGTGGAAAACCCACCGCTTGTAGATCATGTAGACTGATAGGATAAACATTGGTGTTCCACATCAACATCGTTTATTATGTTAGTTTACTTCAGGGTATGATATGGGGAATATCATCTCATGGGATACAGTGGGATATAGGTATTACATGTTACATATATATATATATAGAGTTTCTTCGGTGGAGCATGGATCAATGGATGTGGGGATATGATGGGATACAATGGGGTTTAACGAAATATCAAAATATAACAAAAGATAATATGGGAATATAAACAAAAAATACAAAGTGGGATATAGGATTAACATGCACTAACAACCTATGATGAATATAATGATATGGGATGTAAGCAAAAGAAGAGGCCTCGAATCCTTAGCTAAATTGCTTATAAAGTGGATTTATGGTAGATCTATAATGATCTATCTACAAATAGATGGTTTATACACTTATTACTGGGGGGGGCACCACTCTGTGAAAAAATGGTGTTGAAGCAAAAAAGACTGGACGGTTTAAGCAACAAGAGCAATGATATATACATTAATATCTATAAGAACAATATCACTTGCAGCAATAAGAAAACATAACGATGCTGGAAGAGTCATGCGCATCACAGAATTTCAACCAGCAAAAACGGTGGTGTTATACCAGCGGAAAAAGGGGATCACCTCGTCCATACTACTGGTTGTTTCCCCGGAAGAACCACGGGAATTGGAAACATATTGGTCATCTTTTCGTGTGAAAAGTTCTATACATCCACTTGTGGGGATAAGAGTTTTGAGCCATGGCCATAATTCTACTTGGATGATCCTGCAAGTTAGTAAATTCAATGCTTGGTAATTGGGATATAACCCCTAAAAGTGTCTATAAGTGATGATATCATGGGTTGCTACTCAGTTATTAGCCATAAAAACTACCTTTCAGGATTCTCACAGTATAGGTCCCATGATATCCCATGATATCCCTCTATATCCATTGTATCCATAGTGTATCCCCATCATATCATATTATATCCCTACAAAAAAATCCCGTGGTTTCATTTGGTGCAACCATTTTGGACAACCCTTGAGCCTCTCTTCAAACTCTCTCGAAGATCCTCAGGTAGCCACTGATCTCCATCATGGAAAGAGTAGCCCAGGTCTCGTTCTAAGCACTCGCCGCAAAAGGTTTTTCCAACCTGCGAGGCGTCAAAGCGAGCCCTGGCGCACTGTGGTTTGAACATGCCAACCTAACTGGGTGAACTGTTGGGTTGGTTAGGGGGATATAACTATAGATGATGGGTTTATAAACCAACTTAGAAACCAACTTCTAATGGAATCTTAATGGGATAGAATGGGATAGATAGATAATCAACAACTGTGAAAGCAATGTGAAACTGGCGCCATTGTCACCCAGCTACACCAGGCAAACCGAAGAGGTACAGGTTTGGCAAGGTCGTGAGCGGAGCTTGGCCCGGTGACATAGCGAATTCAAGAATGCGACACTGGCAATGTGACGTGAGCGGTTTTTAAATCTGAAAGCAATCCATGGCAATCAGAACAACAAACTCTTAGAGCGTCAGGATGCGTCGGGTGACATATTTTTGCACAAAAATAAAGACTGTCGAATGAGTTCCTACTCCGAAGCTGAGGAAACCATTGTGTGAACGCATAAGACTTGCCACATCTTGCCACGTTGAAGAGTTTTTTTTCGTGGATACTATACTTGAGCTTCTTGCACCAAAGCTTTCATGATTCCATCGTTGAGCCAGTCCTTGGTCCTCGGTCACACTTCTCCATCCACAAAGAAACTCAGAGAAATCCATGGCTTCAACCCCGATTCAAATCCTTGGGTTTCATGTCAGGCCAAAGATATTAGATATTCATAGATATTCTCACTTCATCTCAATTCTGGGTCAACAAAAACTCCCTGTTTCGTTTCGGCTAGGACTTTCCAGCTGCAGGCGACCCATGACCCAGGAAATCCTCAGGGTCCGAGCTCTTGAGTTTTCAGGGGAGATAGGAATAGTCGCTGGAAAGGGAGTATCAACATATATCAACCAGTTTCTGCCACTGATAGTGGGATTTTCCTGCAACATGTTACTTCAATTCTGGGAAATAGCAGCAACTTACTTTGTTCTTTACCCTCCAAATTGGAGGTTAAAGAACTGACACATGTTTCGTGTAGCTTCCCCTCACATAGTTGAACATGGGGTCAAAATGGAGAACTTATATAATGACATGTGTTTTTGGCAACACAACTTTTGACCCTGCAAAATCATCGCCGGTTTGTGAATTTGTTCGCATTGGATGGATGATTCCATGTTGATTGTATCGCTATCTTGTGATATCAAAACTGTATGGTGGCTGTCGCAGCGTAATGGTGATTTCACCTATCGCCAACAGGCCCACGATGGAAACCAAAACGTATCTGGACTATTCTGAAATCACGGAACAGTTTCTCGAATACGCCAATCTTAGGCAGGTTACATTCCAACTAATTAGATTCAACATGAACTACCATTTGGCTATGAAGACCTGGGTATCGTTATTGTTCACATAAAAACCAACCAGTGAAGAGCTGTTCATCTTCCAATTATATCCAATTACGTTTTTTAATGCTTTATTGATCTGTCAGAAGCCCATTCCAAGAAAAACCCGTCACCTCCCGGCGTACTTTTGGCCACATTCTTTGCGGTCTCTGAGCCTGCTTGGATGACAATGATCAGGATTGAAACAGCTAAGACAAGCTAAGGAACGATTAAATCATGAATGGATCGATTAAATTGGGAACATCTAAGGAACGATTAAACCATGTTTTTCTCCCTGAGATCTAGGGTTCCACTGTAATTTTTTCCACTTGTCCCATTCTGGGCCTGCCGCAAAAAAAAAATGCCCACAAAGCAAGCCATAAATCGTCCAAACAGAGGTTTACCTAAAAATACTTATGAAGTCACCAACACAAAATGATATGATTTCACCGGAAATCACCCAAGAGAACTGCTATGAAGATCACCAGGTAGCAGGGATTTTTATCTTTTTTTAAAACTGCTCCACCATACCACACTAACATTTGGCAATCCAACCCGGCAATGGAATTTTCACCTACGTCCATTAAAGAAAATGGTTGTTCTACCGGTCAAGAAAGGAATTTTGCCAACCAGGCATGAGGTAGATTTCAATTTTCACTGGTCAAATCATCTTACCCAAATCATCTTACCCCTTTTTTCCATATCTATGTCAGTTCACCCCAGAATTAATCCTTATATTCTTGTTGCGGCTAAATCTCCCTGCTTAGGGGTACATTCCAATTAGTATGTGGCTGATAAATGCTAATAATCTATCCCACAAACGTTAATACCTGGCTTTCAATCTTAGACTATTCCTCACTTGCTTACTGGCCGGCACATCCAGGTAAGTGTGCCTCCTCAGTTATGTTTGTTGTTTTATAACCCCATGAAAACTAGTTCGATATATCTACCATAAGTCCTGGTAATAGTAGGATTTATCTCCACTAGCTATCACAAATCAGCTGTATCAGCCGTAAATCCCATGGAAAATACTAGGTATATTTCCACTATCATAACACTCAGCCGTATCAGCTTTAAAAAAAACCAAACAGTTTGGTTGAAGACCATTAGTTTCATTAGTATACCATAATATCCACCTATCATAATACCACTGAGGTATTATACCATAATCTTTAAAAATCACCGATGGTTTCACCGATGATTTCGCCGAAAGTTTCATCATTTTTCACGGTCATCCCATCAAACCCAGACCGATGACGGCGCTGCAAGGCGCTCAGTTGTACAAACGCACCGCCCTTCGGATGGGGTCACGACCTGCCGGGAGCGGTGGAAATCTAGTCATCATGTGTCATATGATGTATGTTATATAAAATAATATATATATATATACATACATTATGTATGTACAATACATATACAATCATATACAGATCTATCCAGCTTCACCATATAATTTTCAGGAAGTCAACTCATCCCAGTAGGAGGGACTGATTCAAACCGCAGACCTGGGTCTCGGATGTCTCGGCAAAGTATAAGGGCATGGTTCAAAATACCACCATTTCTAGCAATTGCTAAACACTAAACATATCTAAACATATCTAAACATATCCAAGTATATATATATATATAAACATATCTATCTACATGTGATCGATTTCCACAAATTTTCTGAACCCTTGGCAACTTGGGTGCCTTTGTTTCGGGGTCACCAAATGCATACGTTCACGTCCTTTCGACTGGGCAGCCCTGCAGACCGGGCAGCAATTGGATCTGCCCCGGATCTCCTGAAGGCATGCGGCGCACACGCGGTGCCTGAGCCATGGTGACCTACTTGGATGTCCCAGGAATCGGAAGTGATTTATCATCCATAAATATGGGATATAGATTCAGATACATATAACCCACTCATCTAAGTGGGGATTTATATATAACATCATATAATCATATATCATATAATCATATATCATATAATCATATATCATATAATCATATATCATATAATATATATATATATGAATATGGGTCATATCTATGGGTTATAATTGGGATCTAACCCATAATGTAACTTGAGACATTCCATATGTAACTGGGTGCTTAGGCGCTACGGTAACAGCTTCTCGGGATGATCCAGCCATGGGATGCCATGGCTAGGCCAAGGGGCCCGCAGTCTAAAGCAGCGTTTGGCCAGTTCAGAATGCACACTGGACCTGGCGATGCTACGGTGCTACGGATTGCTACGGTGCTACGGCTCCTCATGGAGCAACATTTTGGGTTTGTTGGATCCTTTCACCAGTCATTTGTGGTTGATATTTTCCACCCTCCCCATGTTTTTCAGCATCTGGACCTTTGGAGAAGTGGCAAGGTCATGTCGAGCACTGGCTGGGTACCATGCTAAACGAGGACCACAACATACCACAACCGGCATCTACTGTTGGCTAATCCCCCGTTTCCTGTTGGTTAGTCCGCCTTGCTACATCAATACAAAAAAAAACGCCGACCAGCTAGGATGTTGTATGTCATTCATCAAGTGGATCATTAAGTGGTCAAATAGCAATGTTTGAGGTGAACACCCGAATGACTCTGGATCATCCACAATAAATCCCACACCGGATTCAAGAAATTGAAGGCAATCTTAAAATTTGGGGAGTGTTCTTTCAATCCAAAAAAGCATCATTTCTCTGAATGATGACCTCTACTTCCTCCATCCTTCAGCCGCAACATCCCTCGGTCCCTCGCCACATGCTGGACCACCATTGGCCGGTTCAGCAGTCGACGCGGGAATATCCCGGGACCTTAAGGTGAAAGGTTCATGGTCACTGGCGAAGATTCATGGTCAAACATTGGTCTGAGACAAATCATCATTTTTGATAATTCTATACTAAATATCATCCACAAAACATATTAGTAATCATATATCATCATGAAAAACATCAATTATTATAGACTATAATAATTGATGTATAATGATGATATATGATTACTAATATGTATATGGATGATATATCAGTCGACAACTTCAGGACCTCAGGAATTGGGGACTTACTCAACAAATCCCAAGAATTTTTGAATCACCCTGGGTGTAGTTTCCCCTTCTGAGAGCGTGGCGGATTTATCCCCCTTCTGTTGTTTTACAGTGAGGGATGGCTGGTATACACCTGTTGATTCGCCAGATTATGTCTGCATGCTTTCAGCGAACCGTTGGAAACCTTTGGATAAAAAATTCCATCTTGGACGAAATGAGGTTCGGGGAAACTTGATCCACAAGCCAACCAAATAGGTCGAAACCTTCAAAAACCTTGAGGCAAATACATTCAACATCCTGCGTCATCTTGGTTTTAGACTGTTTCAATCTAGTGACTCAATCGTGGTTTCCTCCACGCCTTAAGAAACCATGATCCACCATGATCCACCATGATCCACCATGATCAACCGATGTCAGGATGAATGGGGTGCCCTTTTTGTGCCCATCCGCCCATCCGCATCCCAGGCATCGAACAAGGGTAGAATCTCAAAGAAGGCCTGGTGAAATCATCACCGGCAGTTCCGCTTTGACCCGGTTTTTTCTTCTGAAAATGATAAAATGGGTCCTTCAACTTCTGGAACAAAAAGTCCTGGTAGTGTCTTTTGTATACATTTGAAGAAGCTGAAGACGTAGCTTAGATGTCACCGTACCCTCTGGTGATCTATTCTGACAAGAAATCTCCCCCAACAAAAACCATGGATCTCTGGTCCGGGTCACAACCCTGTATGCCAACTACTTCACATCAAAATGGCCGGTCAATTGCTGGTAAATGGATGTAAATGGATCCATAGACATTGATCCACAGCGATGAAGCTTCGTTTAGTTTCGGGATCTCCCAGCTTGCCTCGCCTGCAGCAGCCCTTGCGACATGCCAGTGATGGCCACTTCGCGGCCCTGGAGAATTGTCCACTGGACAATCCCTAAGTACTATATATGTGTTTTTTTTTGAAATGATTGATCCCTGGTTGGTGGTTTTAACCATCTTGAAGAATATGAAAGTCAATGGGAAGGATGACATCCCATATATGAAATGGAAAAATAAAAAATGGTTGAAACCACCAACCCGAATCGCTATTTTCAGTAGGAGTTTACTGTTTTTTTTCGGGCATTGCACATAGCAAGGACATAATCAGATATAGTATACAGACAAATCATCATTATGTATCAATGGGGAAGTCCAAAAAAACACTTGGTTTAACCGTTTAACATACATCGTTTAACCCAACATGGAGTCTGTATTATGTCTATTACCCTCTAGTAACTCAACATAGACCCAATAAGGGGTTGGCAGACTAGTTTCCACTAAACATTGACGATCAAAATCTATGTACATCCCTGTTCCCTAAAATTAACCATCATGAATCATTCATGGTGAGGTCGCAAAAAAAGTCGCACATTTTTTTTTTCCTTCTCCTTCACCAAGAGCGACTGGGATGTAAGGCCTTGGGATGTCTATCATGGAACGGTCTGCATCCATTTTTTTCACCAATGAATGGAATCCACCAGTTTCTGGAATTTTGGCAGCCAATTCATATGGCTCCCTCCCCATGAACGTTGGTTCAACCCCAGTGTTTCTGTGCAAAAAACATCCAACTTTCTGGATTATAGGTATAAGTCTCACTTTGATTTATAATATTCTAAAGTTCGAACAGTAATTTGACATTATTTGTTCAGATAGGTAAAATTCCAAGTTCTATCTGTTTTGGGGTTGCTATACATACTCTTCGCCTACTGCCATGTCATGCCATGTTTGGATGTTCTTTCTATATTTTTTCGATATCTTTTTTCCATGGGAGTCCCCTGAAACATAGGAAAGTCAAAGGGGATCCTCAACCCGTTTGTCAGATGGAACAGAAAAAACAGCACCAGTACATGGTCAATCTTTGATAGTCCACAAAAAATTGTCATCTTTTGCTGGATATGCTTATTTTCCATTGATAGCCAACAAATACTGGATTAAACTACCCATCCAAGGTTGGGGACATATAAATATCCATAATATCACCCCAATAGTGGCTATAGAAAAATTAACCATTTCTCAATATCTCAAGCATTTTCCAACATCAACCCCCTATACCCTCTGGTAATTTAACATAGCTATTGAAAATTGCCATTTATAGTGGATTTTCCCATTAAAAAAGGTGATTTTCCATAGCTACGCTAGTTTACCAGAGGGTATCAACTATCAAGTCATCAATGGTTTTTATGATGAGATCCCATGATATCATCATAACACAAACAAAAAAGCTGAGCATTTCCCATGGATTTTCCCATGGAGAAACCCATCAACTAGCTGGTGAAAAATCATAAAAACCCATCCCAAGAAATAAAGGTTGCCCTGGGGCAATTATTTTTTTATTCACTAAGCTGACATGTTGGGCCATTTTGGGATGATTCCCCTTTCTAAACCATGATTCCAGGGTTCGGGAGAACAGGGTTCGGTTGTGATAATTTACCCAGATATTTTGATAGCTCCTCCGCATCTTCTCGCAGCGGCAAGGGTGGATAGCCCAGCAGCTCTCGGGTTTCCGACCTGGAGCAGTAAAGGGAATGTCAAAGGGGCATGCTAATTGATTTGATCAAAAACCTATGAACATAAACATACATAAACTATGATTTTATCATATTCTATATGGTGGATCAACTAGCTCTTGCTAATTCAATCATTTTTTGATATGAGGATATGAATCAGTTTTTTTTGGGGTGACCGGCCTCAACTGGTACCCAAAGTTCTCGCAGGAACCGAAGAGCAGCCGCACTGCGGCATAGATCACCACGACGATCTCAGCGACACCGGGGTGTCGAAGACCCAGGATGAATCTTTCACAACGCCCAGAAATGGGGGATGCACTGAACCATCAATAATATCACTGGATTGGTTTAAGGGAAAATCTACAGGAAACCATGGTTTTTACCATCAAATATAGGGCTTTCCTGTAAAATTTCTCATCATCCAATTCTATGATAATTAACAATAATAGAGATGTAATTGGGCTTTAATGGGGATGTAATATGATGTAATGGGATAAATATGTGTCTGAATTTGGGCCAAATGGTTATTTTAACAAGGAAAATTATGATTAACCAGTCACCAGTGCATTGGGGGGGGGTACCCATATGGAGAAAGCCATGATTGGAACTGGAATGTTTGACGGAACTCATCTTAGATACCCTTCAAGAAAGTTGCCTTTTAACTGGCTACACCGTTTTCATCCGTTTTATGGCAACACTTAAATACACCACTTATGGCAACAACCCAGTGACTGGGTGACAACAAACTGCCGGCACATCCTGGCACCTATTTTGTGCTGTCAAGAAACCACCGCCGCGAAAGGAAAGAGCTTGATTCCTTCCTCCCCAAAGGCAGCGATCACATTGCCCATGGCGGTGGCACTTTTGGCAGCGGCAACTGGTGTCCCTTGCTGAGGGTTTTTGGCGAAACTTGGGGGTTGCATAAGTTTGGCCTTTGGGTTTGCCAAGCAGTGAAACAACATGCTTGAAATACACATGGGGACATGCCCCCGGACAAAAGTGGTGCTGGTGGGGCTATAGATGCATGGCCAGCCAGGAAGAAACAGGTCCACAACAATTTTCAACTGCTACCAAGAGTCCTGGAAAAGAACAGTGATATTGATGGTTGAATCAAATCTATGTTGAATCATGCCAAGGCTGCTGTATGCTGCACCTGTGGATTTCAGAATCCCATGGAGCAGTCCAGTTGATGGCTTTTTCGATGCCTGGATGCCCATGAGTTTCACTATGCCACTATGTTTGATCTGATGGTAACTGCTTTGTGCCTCATGTGGCTGAGGGCACTTCAAAGGTTTGGCACAAGACACAAAAAAACATATAATAGAATGTACGCATCGACATAATATATATATAATACACAGATGTACATACATGGATTCACATATCCATCCATACCTAAACCTATACACTAATTAACTTGTCTACATAAAGTACACCGATACAAACACAGATGCAAATACATACACATATGCATATACATGGGCATACACACAAATGCATGTGCACACAAACAGAACTTACATAGATACATTACATATTACATATTACACATATTACATAGATTACATATTACACATTGCACATTGCACATTACACATTGCATTACATACAAGGCATATAAAATAAACATGTACCCATAGATTTGCATATTATACAAACGTTTCTGACTGTGACCTGGCTGTGCACAAGGCCAAGACTTTCTGTTTATGTCTCCTTCCACCAGCTTCCCGGCACCAAAAAACAAGGATGGATGCTGCTCTGCCATCCCAACCATTGGGTAAATCTGAGAGTTCACGCACCTTGCATAGGACTGAATCCATATGGGTTGACTTGTCAACCACTCAGCATCTTTTCCTTTCTTTGCTCGCCTTGCATCGGTATATGTTGTCTGGAGCATCGTTACCCAGACAAATAAATCAAAATGCCAGTCGTTTTTGTGCAAACGTCATCAAGCGTGTTTTGCACTTTGCAAATGATCGAAAAAACAAAAACGACGAGCTAAGCAGCCAGCTTGTTCTGTACATGGACGCTGGCTCAAGTGTGTGAAGAGTTAAGGGCACGAGCCCAATCTACAACGAATTCGCAAAGTCTCGCGGCACCGTTGAGCTTCAAGGAACATATTTCGCTCACCACCTGATCCCCGTTGTTTTCGCAAAGGGCGACCTTGGACTTCCCAGTATTTGAGCCATAGCATTGCTATAAAACACATCTTATATTCTGTAAATCATCTTTCCAGTTATCTCGTTTCACGAATCGAAAAAACATGTTCCCGGTGCTGTAGATGTTTTATTGGTTTGTATAATATATATATATATATTTGTAATGTTGACATCACATTATTAATCCCTATCACAATCAAGTACGCCAAATCCCAGGACAAAACAATCGAACCACCATCCCCATAATAAAATATGTCAACTTTTTTGGTGGTATGTGTTTGTCTTTTTTCCCATTCTTTATGTTTTCTCCCTGCTGCTTCAAAAAGAAACAATCCCGCAAAGAGGGTAGCCATGAACCACCTCAGAACCACACTAAAAGAACATGTTCTACCCCCCTGAATAAAGTCACTTGATTTTCTGCTGAGATTTGGTGTGAATATTCTTAGCGTTCTAAATCCCCCTTGAATTAAATTGCTACAGTGTTAATTAATAGTGACGGCCCTCGAAATAAAGGGCTCCAATTTTTAAACGTAAGCCTCAACAGGCCATAAACATATGTATTGGTTTACTAGGCAGTTCATTTTGGCAATACCAAAACCGTCCCAACATGACACTTGTAAATGGTTTTACTCCAAACAAGGAATGTTTTGGCCTCAACATTATGCTGATTGCTAGTATGTTTTGAGGGGAATCTATAAACACGACGTGGACATTGTATGTATTTTTAAAACATGTTGTTCTTGAGTCATCCATTTTCCCACGCTTACTTTTGGCGTTTTTTGGGCATGTACATACTTGGGGGTGCAGTTGAGGGTAAAACCACAGCTATATAAACCCCCATAGCTTGGGATATGGGGCCCCAAGTTACTATGGTGAAATCTATCCTCTTTCGCTGGAACTGCACTTCCAAGTAGGGTCTAGCTTGGGAGAGGATATCAGTACTATCACTGGTTGGTGGTTGACCTACCCCTCTGAAAAATCATGGAGTTCGTAGTTGGGATGATGACATTCCCAATGTATGAAAAGTCATAATCCAGCCATGTTCCAGTCACCACCAATCAGTGAGTATTAACCATTATTAACCATTATAAAACATTATTAACCATCATGTGCTATCTTTCCGAAGATTGGGCATTGGGGAAGCGATTGGGACTCCCAACTGGACTCCCCAACTGCACCTGAAGAAGTCATCGTGGCCGCCAAAGAGGGAGCCGCCCCAAGGTCCTGCTGCACCTCGACCTGAAATCATAGGCTCATAGGATCACCTGGAAACCAGGTTGATTTTGTTGTATACGAATGCTGAGAATGTGGGTGTATAATATATGATAGTTATATGTGTGTATATATATACACATTCAGAAACATTTGAGATATTATTAATAAATCACATATAATATATCACAAGGAGATCTTAGTGTATCATGCTATATTACAATAGGATAAAATAATGGGCTATGAAGATATGTGATGGTAAATGTTATTTTATATGTACATACATATGTTATATATGCAAATACAGTAGACATGGGGATGAATCAAAATGGAGGGACGACTCATGCGATATGCAGGGGTTAGGTTTGGCACAGACCATCCCATTTAAAGAAAATACCATGGTTTGACCCACAACAGTACGTATCCAGGACTGAAGCTCAACCGATCCTATCTTCATGCTTCACTCTCCAGTTTGGCCTTCCTTAATGTGATTACAACTGATTTAAGCACACCAAATCATAGCATGACATCCATAGCTGGTTGATGTTTATCCCATCTCCATCCATATGGGGATTTCCTAAAATGGGGATACCCCAAGCTCGCTGGATGGTTTATGGAAAATCCCAATCTAAAATGGATGATTTATATAGGGGTACCCCTATGACTTAGGAAACCTCCATATCCATCTGGTTGGTGGTTTTAACCATCTTGAAACATATGAAAGTCAATGGGAAGGATGACATCGCATACATTATGGAAAATAAAAAATGTTTGAAACCACCAACCAGCCATGATATCCAAACAAACCTCCCAAAACCCTCTCAGAACTACGCAACCGGCTGTGCTTCCGCGCCGAGCCCCGGATGCCCTTGTGGCGCTCTTCGGAGGCGCGCGGGATGTCCCGTTGGGAAGGACCACCTCGGCGGTGCAGCAAATGGGGACATCAACATTTTACATAATATATATATATATTATTTATATGTAGGTTATAGATATATCAACATTATATATATATATATATGATATATGTATAGATATCCAACATTATCAAACTATTATGATCTATTATGTAACTGCAATGAAGCCTAATGATGCGAATCATAAGCCATGTCATTGGGATATCAACAATCTATTTGCTATAACTACTGTAACGGACAAACATAGGGACATCAAAACTGTTTACAGTACCCCCAGTAATTGGATGTACTGTAATGTTGCAAACCGATATCCATAATATAGCCCTGGTGCCCAAACTTTGCCGTGTGTAGGTTGGTGGTTTCAAGCCACCTGAAACATATGTTCGTCCATTGGAATCATCATCCAATTTGCATCCATTTGCTGGATGAAATTTGAAACCTATTTGAATGGAACCAGTGACCAGCCGGGTATTTATGGGTCAAGATTCAATGGGTGATGCAGCGACCCTTTGACTTGGTTCAGGGAACACCAGCTGGCAGAGTTTGACAAAAACACGGTTGTGTTCACGGGTTCACCATCGATTTCAAGGCATGGACCCAAGGATGTAGTGTGAACATGCGTGAACCCTAAGACTTGGGGGGCTCATCTGAAACCAATGGATATTCGGACGCCTTTTCTAGGGTGATGATCTTCCCGTCATATCCCTTCTTGTTGGCGGAGACCAAAAAAACACAAAATTGGCTGGTTTTATCTATTTTTATCTTGTATCCTGTATCCCCATTTTTTGCTGGGAATATCCTGCTGTTTCAAGTTTGGTGGTCTCCGTCCCTCGGTGGAATGTGAAAACTCACCCCGTCCCCTGCTCGACGCTGTAAGGCTCCTGCCCGTCACTCTGCGGTTGAATTTGGATCTTTGGAAGCACGATTCGTAAGACGCCATCAGTGTACCTGTTCAGCCCAGAGGCAATATCAAACGCGTCGCAGTTTGCACTGCAGCTGGTGGATTACTGTCTAGGCAAACCAAGGGGATGAGACCCGAACATCAGCAAGACCGTAACATTTCGGCAAAGAGCTTGAGGCTTCTCCTTGTTGACTCTTCAGGCGTGTCTCTCTTGGTGGTTTCTTGCTCCCATACTAAAAGTGAACATGTCTTTGTTGGATACGCGGGTTTTGTCTCAAGATATGGTACCCCAAATTGGATGGTTTCATAGTTTCATCGTACGTCTCACTGGCTATTTTGCGGGATGTACCAGATTTTCAGACGCAGCCACATGACAAACCGCATCCAACCAAAGGTGTAGGGCCACCATCCATGATCAATATCACGTAATAATATATACTATATATATACAGGATATATGTATATAGATATGTAATTGGATCCAATGAGGATATCATGGGGGGAAACGAACCTGCCATATAATGGCAGTACATGCATCTGTACAATTGATGTACACTCGTTGATTGGTGAAATGGCTATCGGATGACCGTCGTTGCTTAGGATCTGAAACCATCTACTGGTAGAAGGTATTGGGCCGTCACTGTGCAGGTACTACTAAGAAACAGATCAACGAGTCACAAGAACCGGGAAAAACTGAG